GTTCCCCGTAGGTGATAGCGTGATAATATGTAGCCGATATAATGACTCGAATTCTTAATAATATTCGTGCCAAATTTGAAGTAAATCCTTGCAGTACCTACTTTTTGAGTTTATCCCAGACATACATACAGACAAACAAAAATTCAAAAAACTATATTTTTGGCTTCGGTATCGATTGTAGATCACACCCCAAGTATTCTTTTAAAAAAATATTCAATGTTCAGCTTTGACTTTCCTACTATTTTATTATTTGTATAGATATTTACATTATTTTTACTCGAACACGGGCTAAAAGACAGTTTAGGGAAACCAAAACGGGTAACAAATTCTATCTGTCCGAATACGGGCGTACTAGACTTCGTTCATTTACACTTAATTAAGCCCTGTATAAACGTGTCATGGCGTGTCGTAGCGCGCTTCTGGCGCGCACGACATCGGTTTCATTCATTTACTATGGATAGAAAAATATTTTCGTGTCGTGTCGACGCTCTAACCTCTCTTTCTCTCCAACCCGTAATAAATGTATGAAACCGGCACGCCACAACAAGTTAATATGTACAGGGCTTTAGTCGTTTGACAGCCGAGAGCTTGGTATATAATCTAAGTTTGACCGAATTCCATAGGCAATCGTATTCGGGTAACGACTAAGTGTAATTGCTCCATGAAGGTAAGCGGTTAGTGGCCTTCGGTATAAACACTTATAATACAACAAGCATCACTCGCCTGTACCCGATAAATATTTTTGACGCCCTTTGAAGAACTCCACATTGTAATCCCTAGGGTAGCTGAACAATGTCCTGGAAGTGATATTCCAAAACCTCACCGTGCGTGGTAAGAAAGATCTGATTATATACTGTGCGTGAACAATTTGTCATTAAGGTATGAAGATGAACTTTCCATCAAATCTAATTTAAATTAAATTCTCGTGTTACGGTGTGCGTAATTGAGCTAGTCCGAAACGGGTCGACCGATTTTTGTGAAATTTGATATGCATATTCAGTAAGTAGGTCTGAGAAACAGACAAAATCTGTTTTTCATCCCCCTAAATGTTAAGGGTGATCAACCCTTAAATATATATATTTTTGGTCAATTTTTTTTGTTTTTATTTTTGTATGATACATCATACAAAAATACATACAACCCTAAGTACCTTTCTACGACCAACCCCTATTTTTTTATGGTAGTATGAAGTTCGCTGGGGCAGCTAGTATTAGATATTACTAGCAAACTAGTGAACCAAATGTTCACCAAAACCTGATTTAAAAAAAAATGTATTAAATTAATTGAGAACTTCGGAGATTTTGTGTGGTTTCGTTTGAAATTCGTGATTTCTCGAAAACCGGAAGTGCTACGTTACTCAAATCCGGTTTGTAGTCTTATCAGACTATTCTTAACTTATAACTTAAATATTCTCTTTATCTATCTCTTACGGTTTGGCCGCTGAAACAGCACCACAGACAGACGGACGGACGGACGGACTTGTCTAATAGATAAGAGATTCATAAATCAATGAATACGCTGTAGAAAACTTTTTAACCCAAAGTGCATTGATGTTTGTGTGTGTACTGTGTCAGTAGCCTTATAAGCAGATGTAGCCTTTTGACGACCACTATGATTCATATCTTTCATAGTTTCTCCATCAATGCCATGGATTAACCGTGGACCTTAGAAAAACAATCTATCTATGTGGTCTCGAATGTGTGTGTTTGTGATAAGAACCTTCGTAGTTTCTAATACTACAGAATTCTTGGCCGTTTAGATATCATGATCATAATCATCAGCCTATTAATGTCCCCACTGCTGAGGCACAGATCTTCCCTATTGATGGAATAGGGAGATCGAATAGGGAACGCGGGCCCAGTGCGGATTGGCGGATGTTAACGACTGCAGATGCAGCCGGAACTAACGGCTTAACGTGCCTTTCGAAGCACGGAGGAACACGAGATAGAAGATTTTTGGTCACCCATCCAATGACCGACCACTGCGAAAGTTGCTTAACTTCAACGATCGCAGCCGAACGCGCTGACCACCCGCGCCATCGAGCTCCTCTTTTAGTCACTCGGCCTGCAATCGCTCTAATTCAAGTTTTGGCTGTAGTTAGTTGACTATATTATCAAAACCTTAAGAGAAATAAACATTAGTTAAAGGTTTCAATAGAATACCAATATTATTAATCGACACTTTATTTCGATAAATTTTAACAATTTTCTCCTAAAAAGTGTGTCACATAGAGAACTTAATGCCTAACAATGATTTTGTAAATCATATTATGACACACAATAATTATTTAATGTATAATTTGCTTTAAAAAGTAAATTCTACGTACTCGATTTGAGATTGCATCGATTCAATCGTAATTTTAGTTAAATGTAGGTACATTATATTGTGACAGCTGTGTCTCTAATATTATCTAGTTCCTTCCTATGTAAAATATTATCTAGTTCCTTCCTTTGTGCACAACAAAAGTAGGTTACTTTGAATCATATGAAAGATATTTTCATCGATGCGTTTGAATCAAAACATCCTCATTAATTAACGAAGAATAAGTTTGGCCAAGTTGCGCAGTGATTTTGTACAAGCTAATTAAATTCTTCGCTTATTAATAAATGATAATTAGTCTTTAGAATTAATACATCCTTAGATATTTATAATATCTTTGGTATTATAAAATATAATGCCGTTTTGAACTTACAAATCAAACACAAAATTGAAACAATTTACTTAATTACGTACCATATCATATAGGTACTTATCGGCCTCGAGGAAAAACAAAAATAGTTATTACACAAAATAATGATTTCATATTTATTTCTGATTTCCTTAATGAAACATGTAATCCTAATAATATTATAACACGATATTTGTATTCAAACACCCAGGAATTTTACCAATGTTTAGTTCTAGGGCCTGTCCCCGTAGCACAAGCATCAAACACCAAGGAATTCTCTCGTCACCAAGGTTTAGTTCTAGGGTCTGTCGCCGTAGCACGAGCTACACAATTTCACTATATCACGTTTTATCGCGTCTACCTGTCAAACTGCATAGTAATTTGACAATTGAGCGTGATAAAAACGCGTTTTAAATCATATCGCGATGTTCATGCTATGGGGGCAGGTACATAATATCGACTGTCGCTGTATCGAAAACACTCAATAAATTTTGGGTAGGTTATAAACCCGTCGATGGAGCATTTTTGATACAGCGACAATCGATGCAGTGACTGTTGATATTATAAACCAGACCATTAAATTCTATCCGCCTTATCACAAAACGTAGACTAAAGTTAAACTTGGACTAAAACTGGTGCTGTTACTTTTGTTCCCTAAAAAGAAGACAGAGACAATGGTGTCGATTCTGGCATGATTGTCTAAAGCTAAACTTAAATTTGACAACAGTGTATCTTTGTCATTCTCTATACAGAATGAAAAGGATATACTGATGTTAAATTTAGTTTTAAGTTTAGAGAATCTTGCCAGAATCGACACCAATATATATTAGGCTTAAACCAAGACTAATTTTAGTCCACGATTTGGAATAAAGTGGAGAATGTCGTTACAATACTGATATACAACATACCTAGCTACTAAAATATCGCTTATAATATTAATGAGATTCAAAAAATATAGGGCCGTTACTTTATCAATGCTACGGCTCCAAACACAGTATCATAACTCAGAATATGAGTATTTTTAGATTAAAAGTATAAAATACAACAACTTTCTGCCACATACATAAAAAACTCGTACATTCAAAAACAGATGAGGGAAATAAAATATTTTATGTTATCTCATTGATTAATTCTTGATCTCGTTTAGAAGCGCTATTATAAAATTTAATGATTTTTAAAGTATTGTGCCCTCTAGAAATCTATGGTGGAATGGAATGCTGACTGCAACGAAAAGTGCGCACGCGAGTATAAGATACAACAAAGATTTTCATTCAGAGAATGGACTTAAAATTATTATAATTGATAAATAGTATTATTTCACTGCTCAATCTTGATTTTATAACACTTCACTACCTAAGCAAAGACAATTCTTTGAGATCCAAAGCCTGTTTCTAGCGTCAAAATACCTATAACGAAAAAGAAGTACAAACTCATTTTGTCTCGCATCGATAAAACTCTGAAGACTTATTACTGGACATTGAATAATTATTTTCTTAATTATTAGAAATCTATAACATTCATTGACTTATTCAGGTGCGGCGTTGGGTCTTTTTTTGTTCTTCTTACATATTTTATCAAGTGTAAAAACTTATGTTGAAAAGATAATATTGTGTAATCTATGTAAATTCTGTACAATGTACACAGCCAAGTAATACTAGCATTTCGCTTTCAGGTATGATCATTGTTTAAGCTACATCACAATCATAAGAAGTTTCTCCTGAAATTTTATAACTATGCTGTTGTGAGTCATATACACGTAAAATATATTTTTTTATTTAAATCGTTATTAATATTTAATTCGTCAATTTCGAACAGCTCATTTCGCACAGAGGAAAACACCCGGGGGCATAAATAATTAATAAGTTTTATGACCAATTTAAGCACCTCTCATTAATTATCGATTTTATATAATACTTCATTCTTTCCAATGTTTAAAAATTAATATTAATACTGCCAATAAGGCCAAAATAATATTCTTGTGCGTTTTTATTCAAAGGAAAGGATTGTGCTTGTGTGCCTTCGTCCTATGAATCACAACGTCATTATTCGTAGTGCTTCCAAAAAGTGCAAATTTCTATCCTAGAATTGGGTTATCAGCAAAGTCTTTAGTATCAGGCTTGTAAGTCAACTAAACACGCTAAGGCATTTCTGTCATATATGTTTATTGTTTATGTGATAGCACGAATGTTTGATAAAAGTTCTTAAGAAAATATTAAGCAAAATAATCATGCTCGCAAAACGGTAGAATCCACGTATCAAGAAGAACAGAAATGACTCATCATTATATTTATGGCACTCTCTTCACGGGATTTTTTTAAAACACTAGAACAGTAAAACTTTCTTCTATTTTCTATTCTTGTTTAAAAATGATCCCTCGTGGCCAAAATTGGTTAACCTATCCATCTTAACATCCTAATGTCGCCACACTACGACTCGTAAGTAAATGTGTCTGCCGAATCAGACGTAACACTTAGATCTTGAGACGGTGCAGTAAGAGTCATTATGCCTTATAATTCATTTAATATACAAATACTGCCTTATAATAAGGTCTAGGCATGAACCTTCTCATACTCCAGCAATTCCCCCATATTTTCTATGGACATCTCCATCAGATGTTTTCCGGCGAAATGCAGATAATCTTGTTTCGGCTCATCGACGGAACGCTTTCGTACTGTAAAAATTAAGAGAAATCATCACGTGAGGTTTTTATGAAAGTTCACCACTGTGAAATGAGGTCATAGAGAAATTTATGGCATGAATCAATCGAGCGAGTATTAAAATTGTTCCATATTGTCCGCAGCTAGTAGGTATAAATATTTATTTAATATAATTCGACATAAGTCAACTAGCCTATTGACAGCGGCAGTGCTCAACGAGCAGGAAAACCGCCAGATATGATATCGGCATGTCACTGATAAGTATGGCGGTTTCCAAATAGCGTAATGTTATATAGATGACTCACTGACGATCTCGTTGCGGTCTGCAGCCGATTGCTAGTGTCTTAATACTTAGCAGTCTCCTCGTCCTTTGCCAAATGAGTATAAAAGGACTCATTGATGTCACCGTTGTCGGTCTGCTGCCGCTAGGTAGAGTAGTAGTGGAGTGGCAGTGCTTGACGAGCGTAAAAACCCCCAGATAGTGTTATATTATATGAACCTGTCACTTATAAGTTAGGTGGCTTCTAAATAACGATAGCGTTACGTTATAAGGATGACTCACTGATGTTTTCGTCGTCGATCTGCAGGCGATATGTGGGGCAGTCGGGGCATTGCTCATCTAGTGCAACACTCAGATGCCGCATCTCTTCAGCGGCGGGCAGCAGTGCCCGCAGTCTGCGTCGTACGCACATAACGTCAAACGGAGTGCCACTTCCTATGTGCAGAACAAACATACCCGGGCACAGCACCGCTTCCTGCTCCTCGGCCTATAACTAATCATGTTATATATGGACGACTCACTGATGTTCTCGTCGTCGGTCTGTAGGCGGTAGGTAGGGCGATCGCGGCATTGCTCATCTAGTGCAACACTCAGATGCCGCATCTCTTCAGCGGCGGGCAGCAGTGCCCGCAGTCTGCGTCGTACGCACATAACGTCAAACGGAGTGCCACTTCCTATGTGCAGAACAAACACACCTGGGGACAGTACCGCTTCCTGCTCCTCAGCCTATAACTAATCATGTTATATATGGACGACTCACTGATGTTCTCGTCGTCGGTCTGTAGGCGGTAGGTAGGGCGATCGCGGCATTGCTCATCTAGTGCAACACTCAGATGCCGCATCTCTTCAGCGTTGGGCAGCAGTGCCCGCAGTCTGCGTCGTACGCACATAACGTCAAACGGCGTGCCACTTCCTATGTGCAGAACAGACACACCTGGGGACAGCACCGCTTCCTGCTCCTTGGCCTATAACTAATCATGTTATATATGGACGACTCACTGATGTTCTCGTCGTCGGTCTGTAGGCGGTAGGTGGGGCGGTCGCGGCATTGCTCAGCCAGTGTAACACTCAGATGCCGCATCTCTTCAGCGGCGGGCAGCAGTGCTCGCAGCCTGCGTCGTACGCGCATAACGTCGAACGGCTCGCCGCTTTCTATGTGCAGGACAAACTCTACGGGTGCCAGCACCGCTTTCGGGTCCAACTCCATTACGAAACACCTCTGCGAGTCCACAATACCTGTAGAAAAGTTAAATGCATTTTATTCGATAGAGTTACTGGATTATCATTAATAATACGAAGAGAATAACTTTATTATCTCTGTTTGAACCACGTTTTGTTTATGGAGGACTGTGAGATTTTGCATAATAAAATAAGCTTTCAATAATAAAGATTTTATAAAAAAGTGTGTAAGAAATACATGGAATTCATAACATTAACATTTGAACAACACACAATGATTCTTTGACAGAAAAACTATTAAAGTCGAATTTCGACAAATAAACGACCATGTATCAGTAAAAGGCCAGAATTAAAAAATAATAAGTTACCACAAATTAAATGTATATTGCTCACCAGTAGCATTAGCGCTGAAATCGTGAATAAACTCGACATTCTGCCCACCGTTGATGACAGAGATCTTTTCCAAGTTGCCATCGATATCGAACCGCTCCAGCAGGCTGTTCAAATAGTCGCCTTGGGCCTGGTCCTCGTTGCTAGTGAACACGGTCATTTCGGACTCCGAGCTCCAGCGCAGCGGCACGCGGAACTCGTTGGGCTCCTCCTTTTGCACTTGCGCAACCTGATTTAAAACATCATCATCAGCCTATTGATATTTCCACTGATGGGCCTCGGGTCTTCCCTATGGATGGAATAGGGAGATTCGGCCATGACCCACCACGCGGGCCCAATGCGGATTGGCGGGTGCTAACGACTGCAATTACAGCCGGGACCAACGGCTTAGTAAATTTTTGGTCACCCATCCAATAACCGACCACTGCGAAAGTTGCTTAACTTCAACGATCGCAGCCGAACGCGCTAACCACTTGCGCCATCGAGCTCCTCATATGACTCAATCCAGGTCATAAACTATACGTGCACCAAATGTTATCCAAATCCGTTCGGTAGCTTTTGCGTGATTAAATAAAAAAAAATACAATCTTTCACATTTATAACATTAGTATGGCGTACGATACTACGATTAAAAAATTACAATTCACCGCTTAATTTTGAATTTATAAAACCGTTTACTGAACAGATATAGTATTAACTTGTTTCTTTCATTTTTGCACAAAATAGTTCACAGACGCGTTTCTCAAGCGGAAGAAACTCACAATCGCAGTGATCCTGCCCCCCTGAGTACTGAATCCTTACTACAGTACTCAGAGTGCCCCGCGATCGCAGTGATCCTGCTCCCCTCTGAGTACTGAACACTTACTACAGTACTCAGAGTGCCCCGCGATCGCAGTGATCCTGCCCCCCTCTGAGTACTGAACACTTACTACAGTACTCAGAGTGCCCCACGATCGCAGTGATCCTGCCCCCCTCTGAGTACTGAATCCTTACTACAGTACTCAGAGTGCCCTGCGATCGCAGTGATCCTGCCCCCCTCTGAGTACTGAACACTTACTACATTACTCAGAGTGCCCCGCGATCGCAGTGATCCTGCCCCCCTCTGAGTACTGAATCCTTACTACAGTACTCAGAGTGCCCCGCGATGGCAGTGATCCTGCCCCCCTCTGAGTACTGAACACTTACTACAGTACTCAGAGTGCCCCGCGATCGCAGTGATCCTGCCCCCCTCTGAGTACTGAATCCTTACTACAGTACTCAGAGTGCCCCGCGATCGCAGTGATCCTGCCCCCCTCTGAGTACTGAATCCTTACTACAGTACTCAAGAGTGCTACCCATGCATGAGCGGCGCGATATGATATAAAACGCGTTTTTATCCGCATAGTTGTCAAATTACTATGGAGTTTGACAGTTAGACGCAATAAAAAACATATATATATATACTGTAAATTGTGGTGCTCATGCTACGGGAACTGTACTGGTTCGAGATATCGTGTCCGTGAGTGGTTTCTATGTATGCGTTGCTCGATCGCACTTTGTATGTAGATTACTTTCTATTATGTCTATTGTGTGCTCAAACTATTTCTATCTATATCAAATTTCATCGAAATCGGTTCAGCGATTTAACCGTGAAGAGGTAACAGCATACACACTTTCGCATTCACAACATTAGTAAAGATTATTTTCTTGACAGTTCTGCTCCGTACAAGATCCCCACCGTAGATTTACAAATATGCACTGCTTTCAGACTTTTATAAGTGTTTGTATTATTTAAATTAAAGTAACCTCCCAACTGAGGAGCTCGAAGGCGCAAGTGGTTAGCGCGTTCGTCTGCGAGCGTTGAACTTAAGCAGCTTTCGCAGTGGTCAGTCATTGGATGGGTGACCAAAAATTATTATCTCGAGCTCCTCCGTGCTTCGGAAGGCACGTTAAGCCGTTGGTCCCGGCTGCATCTGCAGTCGTTAGCACCCACCAATCCGCACTGGGCCCGCGTGGTGTGTCATGGCCCAATCTCCCTATTCCATCCCTAGGGAAGGCCTGTGCCCCAGCAATGGGGACATTAATAGGCTGATGATGATGATGATGATGATGAACCTCCCAACTAAAACTTATATAAGCATAAGGCCGGCCAAATAACACTATTAATGCAGTAACATGATCTATAACAAACAGTGTTATGTTACACAACATAGATTACTAAGTTCAAAATTGGTGCATATGGTACTGAACCATATGCACCAATTTTGACAGATCCGTACACTTAGCATGAAAAAATAACGAATTCGAATAGTTTGCGAGTGCGCAATGTCACTGTCAAATTTTGAATAGAAACTTGAACAGCAGCTCAACAACGGACGTAATGAGAACTAAAAATGAGTACATATTTGACAATGACATTCCGCACTCGCAAACTATTCGAATTCGATACTGGTTCGTGCTAGGGGTACTGTATTAGTACCGCCAACGTCAAACTTTCTATGGAAACTAAGCAGAGCTCCTAGCGGCCGTAAGAACACACTGGTTTGTGAAGTGAAACTTCTTTACGCACGCTTGACTTAGGGAGTAAGCTGACGAACTCGTTACGAAAAGTGTGATCCGGCGAGGCGAACGGGAGTTGAGTAGGGGATAAAAGTAAGAGAGAGCAGTGCGGGTGCGCACATTTTCTTTCTCTCTTTCTCTTATAGCTAGTAAATGAAATATGTATATGTACATACATGTATATACTGTACACATTCCTCCATCTGTATATACAGATGGATATATATATGTATATATATACATACAGATGGAGCTAAAGAAGTTTTACTTCAGTCGTGTGGTCTAAGCACACTCGATTTTTCTATAGAAGCAGACATGACGAAACAAAAACTTTCTCGGGAGTTATTTGTGGTCATGGCGCAGTAAACGAAATGTAGGTGCACTAAACTGAAGCCTGCACAGAGTTCCGCTCGCTGCTAACTTCACAACCTGCACGAAGTTTGAATCGCACCATACCTTAGACACCTCCATGGGAATAGTGCAGTAGCCCCTGTAGCGGGTCGGCTTCGGGCTCCTGTTGCTCTCGTTGAAGAAGACGAGGGCCAAGATGGCGCCCATGAGCATAAGCAGAGTGGTGAAGAAGACTACGCCCAGCAGAGCGCTGCTGCACCTTGACCGGTACACGACGACTCGGGTGCGAGGGCGCACGATAGGTTTCAAGTTCTCCTGTAATAAGAACCAATCAAAGGTTATTTTACATTTTAGAGTATTGTACTCCATTCAAGTTAATAAGGGGAGGGCATCCATCATTATTTACAATCCCTTCTGAGATTTATTTTTTAAACACAGTAAAATTTGCCGCCTCCCAATCCCAATCTCATATTTGAAGACCGCGTGGCGTAGATATGCTCTAATGCCTGCTCTACACGTTGGCCAACATTGTGGCGAATAGTTGTGGTCATTACCTATGGCCATCGTGTAAAGCAGGGGTTTGTGTTTATCTTGGTAGGTATTTGAATGCTGGCCCACAAGTTGGTGCAAAATCCATATGGTGTCGGCTTTTATCATGCCTGCTCTACACGTTGCTAAAATTGTGGCGAATATTGTGGCAAAGATATTAGCCAAGTGTTGGTGATGGCGTCCACGCGTTGGAAGGTTGTTTAGTTTGCTTCGGTTGAGGTCAAAGCGCAGCAGCAGTTAGGGTCTCAATGTCCATTTTAATAAATTCGTCTGCACATTGGCCTGTACCGAATCAAAATAAACAAGCATCCAACGTGTGGAAGCTATCACAAACTCTTGGCTAATTTCTGTGCCACAATATTCGCCACAATGTTGATCAATGTGTAGAGCATAGGCATGCGTCCGATATATCAAAACGAATCCAAAATCCGATTTCAAACGCAAATCGATACCGAACGATTTCTCAACAAGAAAATCCGATTTCAGAAATCTAACCGAACCAAAACCAAATACCACAAGTATCCAAATCTAAATCGGATTCGAAATTCGTGCTTTCGTTTTCGGAAGTCAGATTTCTTGCTCGGAACTCCGATTTCGATTTGCTGTTTACGGAAATCTATTGCTGTTCTCTGAGGCGGGATTATTTATCACTGAAAAGATATGTCGTCTAAAAACATCAAAAGTCGAGCAACTTACATTTTTGGACGCTAACCTGAAGTAATTAGGTTTGATTTTGTAAATGGTTTTAAAAAATAATAAAAACAAACAGAATAACAAATAAAAATACTAAAAAATATGTAAAAAGAAATCATTGTATAAAAGCCGATTTTTAAATGCGCCGCAAAAGTTTTACTCTTAACCGTAAACATAACTTTTCTGCTAGTCCTAAGCCTAGATTTAAAGCATGAAGGAAAATCGCGAATATCTACGAGTTGATTGTTTGTGATTGTCGTTGGCTAATAAAACCAAATCATAACACAAACTAGTGAATTGGCTAAGTTCAGCACATCTGAAATCGGATATCTAAAAACGGATTTTAAAATCGATTTTGAAATCTGAAATCCGATAAATATCCGTTTGCGTTCAAAACCTAAAACGCCCATGTCTAGTAGAGCAGGCATTAGAATAATTCAGTTATCCTGTAGGTAGGTACTATCTTTATCCCGCGACTTCGACCGCGTGGTTATAGTACCTAATATGAATAACTATTTTTTACCTGATCTACTTTTCATCTTTCATCTTACTAATTATTTAAATAAAAAAAATACAAAAAAAATGTGGTTTTGATTAGCAAACCTTAATAATGTGTACAATAAAAGGAAAATGGTCAATAAATGATTGGTAACTGCGAGGCATATAATTTAAAACATTTCTGTAGGTAACTTTTCTTGTTATAACGGCCTTTGTTAACACATAAATATGTTGTGGTCTAGAGATTCATGTTCTGAGCAGCATGCCACGTATTACTTCCCATGATAAACAATGTTCCCTAAATTACTCCTGCTGCGTTCAGTATTTGTCCTTGAGCTATATTTACTTTATCGCGAAGTTTAGAGGAAACTGTACATTTTAAAACAGGAATGTGAAATCGAGAAGTATTAATATGGAGAATTAATAATATGGTCTTCTTCCATTGCTGCTGTCTGTTGCCACGCGATCTTTCCCTCCCGATTTTCAAAAGACCAACCGTATATTGCCCCACTTCTGTATCACAGTAGTGCAGTTGTACTAACATGATTGTTTAGACTTTTTCAACACGAACCCACAATGTAGGCGCCTTCAAACATGAATTTATTATCTGCCGGTGTAACCCTAATGGTCACCGGCAGTATCTGTTAAAATTCCATAGCTGTATCACCATAACTATCAGCAAGTATCACCATATCACCCTCTCTATATTTCGGTTGCTCTTGATAACTTTTATTGGTAAAAGTGTACTTACTTAGAGCAAAGGAAGTTTATTCAAACTTTAAGAGGGGAGGCGGGCAATATTTTTCTCCATACAAAAGTTCTCGATTGATTCCTCTTTAATTTTTATCACTAAAGAATTGATTTTCATACATAAAATATAATTTTACTCATTCTATGCTCCTATGTCTTACTTTTTTCGATAACTTGTGTTTCAGAGAAACTAGAAACCTTCGAAAAAGGCCAAAAATAAACAGATTTTTATCATCACTACAGACGTCTAGCGTGGAGATTTAATAAGCATTTACAAAAAAAAAAGCAAAACATAGAGGCATAGTAAACTTTTTTCTTTTACATTTACCTAATTCTCGAGGAGGAAATCGTCTAGAGCCAAACCTCGAATTTTACAATTTTAATACGCAATTTTCAGAGTCAACTATTGTTGTTCCTATCACACCACTCCCGCGGGGAATATGGATGTAAATTTTCCTTGTATAATACAAATGTTTACTGCCTTTATTTCAAGGTCTGCTCGATAAATTACCACGCATAATTATTGTTTAATAATTCGTCAAAACACCAATAAACGAAAATCGAAACGGTACACCTAACTTTTATTCGGTTGAACCAAGCCAAACTGCGTTCGTAAAGTATAATTATAGTAGGGGAGCCCAAGCGGAAATTTTAGGATTTACTCGAACGCGGCAGAATAACATATGGGGAGCAAACTTGCACCTAGTGAAGTACTCCCACTAAACCTGAGCCCTATAAGTAGGGCCGAACGTCTAGGGCAGCAAAAACAAAATTTTAACGAACGGTCATGACTTTTGGTTGCGCCCAAATCGTCAGTCTTTTAAATATAAGCTACTAGAGGCTTCATGTAACGTTTCTTAGAACGGAAAAATATTGATCTGCTGCGGTTTGCATGATAGGGGTGGCCGTACGAAAGGATAGAATATAGGAAAAGATAACCGAGCGCGTCGGACATTGAGAAGGGATGTTACGTGAACCCTCCAGTAGCTCCTATTCAAAGACTGACGATTTGGACCCGACCAAAAGTCATGGCCGTTTGTTGAAATTTTGTTTTTGCTGCCCTAGACGTTCGGCCCTACATAGATGGCTCAGGTATAGTGGGAGTACTTAACTACGTGCAAGGTTGCTCCCCATATGTTATTCTGCCGCGCTCGAGTAAATCCTCGCTTGGGCTCCCCTACTATTACGTGATGCAATTAACACCGAAGGAGATGCAGCTAATGGTGGTCGATTGACCGTTGTCCCACCGACGCATGAACAGTGGTAATCTGTTCTGTGATAATCTTTAAGAACATGAGCAAGGTGCAACGACATAAATGTTCGTCGTTACGGTGGATGGGCCAGATCTATTAATTGCTTCGCGGCTTCTTATTCTTAGATGGAATAGGTGAAAATTTGAAGACATTTTTAATAGCGTAGAATTTGGCCACTATTCATGAGAAATCGTACATTGCGGTAGCAGTTGCTTCTTTTGGCATAACGGCCATATTGTAAGAAAAATAATATAGATAGATAAATTAACGTGTTTCGGGGGCGGAATGATTTTACTATCTAGAGATTTCTGCCAGACAGTGATAGTTACTCCAAGATCGACTACTGCCAATGAAATAAAGTAAGGGTTTGTCTCTATTCATATACTTGTAGCACCATGTACTAAATGAATTTTCAGCTGACAGTAAATATGAGAGTTACATTTCTGAAAGATTAATATACAGATGATGTCTCCAAGAAATTGCTAACTATGGAAGAAGCTGTGTTCATGTCGAACGGATAGCTTTCATTTCTTCCAAATTATTGTAAGCGGTATGTTTTAAAATTTTAATTGTTTATTATTTAGGTACATACCTAAATCAACGTTTGTGTAATTTTTACTAGTGGGTGAAGTCTCCACTACCAACGAATTATTTTATTGTTTAATGTATTTTGTATTATTATTCGTTGTTTCCCAAATAAAGTAGGAATATTCCTATAAGTATTTACAAAAAAATGTGTTGCTAACATGGGAATAATCAGCCATTTTGTACATACAGGTACACAGTAACCTACGCAATAAGCAACAAGTTAGTTAGGAAGGTTACTGTGCGCAATGCGCTAACAAAGGACCGCCGTAAATAGGAATAAGAGAGGATGGGTGTGTTTACATTATTACAAAGTGAATCTTCGTCACGCAAAATTCATTTAGATAAATTTATAAAAGAACAATCTTTAATATCAACCTTGGGCGCACAGTTTTTTTGCCCATAATTAATTAAATAAAAACCTTTTAAACTTTGATAATGAAAAGCAAACGCATTTAATGGAAAAATATTTATTTCATTTATTTTTATATCATTCATGTTAACTAATTTATTACAACATGCATTATTTAAGTAGTTAAACAATACTCGGAGATATGCGCGAACAAAGATAAAAAAATAAGTTTAAATGACGACTTGAAAACCTCCTCCTTTTGAGAGTCGGTTAAAAAATATGAAAAAGATAACAGTTTGAATTATTTTCCTTTTATCATTACCTAACTTAATGCGGAAATAAAACTTTAAAACTTAAAAAAAAATATTATGTATTTATTTATTCATTTTAATTTAATTTATTACAAAAAATGCGAATTGTTCAACAATACAATTTGAAAGTAAAGTGTATTCTTAATGAAAATGTATGTACCTAATTAATGATTTTTTGACAGAGTTACCATATCAAAACAGAAAGATCTTAAAAAATAAATGGCAAATCTCACCTCATCATATCTCGTGCCACCAACAACAAGCGGCGTGTTTATTATCTCCGGTTTCTTCAGCAAGTCGCTGGATTTCGTCAGCACCGTCATATTGTCAGATCAAATCAGTTAACGCTAAGTATACCGCGATGATGCACCTAGAACTCGCTATTATGAGACCAGGCAAATAAATCAATACGAACCACATACGCACTTGGAACCTTATTTATATTTTCTGCGCTTGTGCGCGCAGGAGGAAGGAAATACATCAATATGAGCAAAACATTGCAAGGTGTAAAAATATTATGAAAAATTAAAAAATAGACAAAATATTATTAAATATTAATAAAGAAAACACTATAATTAAAATAACACTTAAAAGGTAACTAACTAAACCCCAAAACGAAACGCTATACTTTTAAATTGAAATGTCAAATTATTATTCGATGCCATCATTCGATTACTTAATCGATCCTTATTCTGTGGTGCCACATTTATAAAAATATTTGTCATTGTCTATGGTTTAAAAAATTAAGGAATTTTGAGGAAACGGACGATTAGTTTTTCTTGTTGTAGAATATTCTGTGTAGAAAAGAGGTTAAATGAATCAGCAACGCTATAAGTGCCGTTAAAACATGTATTAGGCTCCCGCTACTATATTTTATGTTAGTTCTTTGTTTCATTGTGTAATTTCCACGTATAAAATAAAATTGTGCACAATTAAAATGGCGACTGACCAAGTGAAAAACCGCATGCATGTATTCAAGAACACTGGAAAAGATGTGGATGTGAGTATAATGAATTAATAATTTCTCATTATGTTGTACAATATCTTTCATTTTTCTATCAAACGGCCTACTTACTTCTCTCACGTGTGATTTTTCAGGAAATGCGCAGGCGGAGGAACGAAGTGACAGTTGAACTAAGGAAGAATAAAAGGGAAGAAACTTTACAAAAAAGGCGTAATGTCCCCATCAACGACTCCACAGATGAAGACGAGATCGAGAGGACGTTGGCGTCAACGAACCTCAAGGAGTTGGTGATGAACGCAGCCAACGCCGAGAATCCCGATGTTCAGCTGGCAGCTGTGCAGCAATGCAGAAAACTACTATCATCAGACAAGAGCCCCCCAATAGACGAACTAATAATGAACGGCATCCTTCCCATCTTAGTGCAATGCCTATCACGAGCAGATAATCCTACATTACAGTTTGAAGCTTCTTGGGCTCTCACCAACATAGCCTCTGGTACCTCAGCACAGACAAACAAAGTAGTACACGCTGGTGCAGTGCCCCTGTTCTTGCAGCTGCTGATGTCACCCCATGAAAATGTTTGTGAGCAATCAGTTTGGGCTCTAGGAAACATCATTGGTGATGGGCCAGTGCTTCGTGATTTCGTCATAGAAATGGGTGTAGTGAAGCCACTGTTAAGCTTTATCAAACCAGAGATCCCTATCTCTTTTCTACGTAATGTTACCTGGGTTATTGTCAATTTGTGCAGGAGTAAGGATCCTCCGCCACCAGCTAAAACTATTTTGGAGATTCTTCCTGCCCTCAATGTGCTGATTGTGCACAGTGACACAAGTGTAAGTATACAACTAGCAACTTTTTAATTCATTCTATGAAAAATTAGTCATTCTTGATATCTACTATCACTTGTGAACAAAAAACTTATCTTCCAGGTGAATGATTTAACTGAATTTAGTTATAATAAGGTCACTATTCTGACCTGTTTGATAAAACCTCTACTCTTAGTAACAATTATTGTTTTATACAATGTCTTTGATTTATTTTCATCAGACAAACGGGACAATGATTGATAGCTATCAGTAATCTTGATAAACAAATATCTTTGTTTTGTGATAAGTACAAAAAGTTTTGAATAGAAATATTTAAATAATTGTTTATAACACAGTTGATGGTCCTTATAGATAGATAACTTATTTATATTAAGAAAAGTATGTAGAGTTAATTTTAAACTTAAAAAATAATAATGCGATAGCTGAGTAAAGATTTTCTTTCATCATAATTAGTTGGAGGGCTTGATCTATGATTAATATCAATTTAGCTGTGCACAAAAGTCAAAGCCACATTGAATGTAACTTTAGTTGATGTAATAACAAAATTATGTAAAACTGACCTATGTGATGGACAAGTGCCCATGTATGTCTACCCAAGCCTTGTTTGCTCATACTAATATTTATTTGCATTTTAGTAAATAGATTACTAAGCAATATTTAACATTAATTTGATTACAACTAAAATCTTTCTTTCTATAATATATAAGACAGAGACTGTCAACCTTTATTAGTGCCTACTGTGTATGTAATATCTAGTTAACTATAAATACATAAAAACTAATATGTTAGTTTTCAAAACTTGTGTGTGGTGTGCGTTTATCAATCTGTGTAATCCCTATTGCACTATATTTGCCAAGATCCTTTGTTTAATAAGCAAAACATTAAATAGGAGGCTTAGGCATGGAACCAAAACACAGACAACCCACTAACAATATTAGTATGTATAATTCTTAATAAAAATCAATTAGACTACAGATTTGAATATAACATTTATATGGTATATACCTAGACTGTGCAATGAAAATAATTTATTTACATTTCAGATCCTAGTTGACACAGTTTGGGCCATCAGTTATCTAACAGATGGTGGAAACGAACAAATTCAAATGGTCATTGAATCTGGCATTGTACCCAAACTGATCCCATTGCTCTCACATAAAGAAATGAAGGTGCAGACAGCAGCTTTGCGAGCAGTTGGCAACATTGTCACTGGAACTGATGAACAAACACAAGTTGTTCTGAACTGCGATGCCCTCTCACACTTCCCTGCGTTATTGACACACCAGGTCAGTACATCAATACTGGAAAAAGGCTTATATATTTTTAAAAGGTGTACTGATGCCTTTGGTTTATAAACCAAATCATATTCTGTATATTTCTAAAAATTGTATGTATCTTTGCTACTACAGTAGAACCTCGATAAGATAAAGACCAAGCGAAACGTTAAATAATTTGAGTTATTGAGGTTTTTACTTACTGAGGGTTTGAGTTAAGGAGTTTTTATTTTCTTACATTTTTACTTACAGAGCTTTGTTTATGAGCTATGTTTAGGAAATATAGAGATAGACAAATAAGTTACTGAACCCTAGTATATTTTTTACAATTGAAGCTATTTGGTAAACACGTGTAAGCAATAGCAGTGGTCTACAGGGAACCTTTTTTCTTTGCACATTAATTTTCAACGACTCATTGATAGATGATTGAAGTTACGGTACGGCACATTAATTTTCAACGACTCATTGATAGATGATTGAAGTTAAGGTTGTCGTTGTTAAAAATTTTATTTACTGAGGTAACGGATGCCAAAATTATTTGTTTAAGTTATAGAGGGTTTGTATTTTAATTAAAAGAGGTTTTGGACTCCGAGGGGAAGGGAACACAAAATTTTATGAATTTATAGAGGTTTTTATGTTGTTGAGGTTTAAGTTATCAAGGTTCTACTGTAGTTTGTTTTTGTCTAGATTTTGTCATGTTCACATGTGCTTCCAGTCTCTATTCAGAGTTTATCAATCCATGTTAATCATGGACTGCACAGCCTTATGCTAGATGAATGAAATAGAAATCTCGCATATTACTGGATGCGACCTGTCCTAGGTTTTTTCGGTTTACACAGCCAGTGTGGAATACAAAACATAGCTATGTAGTGTTGTTTATAAACAGGATTTTTATACCAGCAGCATTGCAGCTTTGCTACATTATATCAATAATCCTCTATTTAAAATAAATTTCTTAGGCATTCTATTGCTACTGCATACAATTTCCTCTGTCTCTTTATTAATATGTGCTGCATGAGTAGCTATATCTTTCACTACTTTATTAATTAACCAACAAGTTCTAATCTTTTTTCATTATTTTCGGTTTAGAAAGAGAAAATCTGCAAGGAAGCTGTATGGTTCTTATCAAACATCACAGCTGGTAACAAGCATCAAGTGCAGGCAGTGATAGACGCAGGTCTCTTGCCGATGATCATTGAAAACCTGCGCAAGGGCGAGTTCCAGACGCAGAAAGAGGCCGCATGGGCCATCTCCAATCTAAGCATTAGCGGAACTAAGGAACAAGTCGCCACGCTAATAAACTGTGGCGTCATACCTCCCTTCTGCAATCTCCTCAGCTGCAAGGATACGCAAGTCATCAATGTATGTATTTTTCCTGTTTGATTCTATCAACAGTTACCCTATGTAGGGATGAAATAAGACCATTATTTTGATAATAATACTTGATTCAAATTGGCTATTTGACAGTATGAAAAATAATGTACCATTTATTGGCATGTAGCATGAACATGGGAGTGTTTTCAATATTCTGACAAAAGGTAGTTGATAAGAAATAATGAAGTAGAAAAGTATTTTAGATCTATTTTCACGCGACCGAAAACGCCTAGGAGTGGCGGAGCCTAAAATGACGTCACCTGCTTGTAAACATGTGTCAAAAGTGACATTACTTTGTACTGATTGAGTTTTTAATGAGAGCCGTGTAACATCACCTGCCTGTAAACACGCCATATTTGCTAGGGAAACGTTTCCATTGCATATATCGTTTTTTACTGATATATGCAACAGAATTATAAATATCCACTTTTTATGGATAGTCTTATAGTCTTCGACTGATTGCAGATCTTGAGAGGAATAAAAAAAAAACTTTTTATGGAGTAGTCACTCCTAAACACTACACTACGTACACTAGTAAATTACATATGAATGCTTAAAAAAAACTTGTATATTATAAATAGCCTATTGGGAGTAGGTTATAAATCTTTATTTGTGAAGTCATATTTCGGTACGGTACAGCTTAATTATCATAATAACAAGACCTATATAATTATAGATTCTGGGCTGAATATTAGCCCCAAAATAAATGTAAACATCTGTAAAGAGTTTTGTCCTAGTTATGATTTTGTGTAAGTAAAAAGTGATGAATTTTATTTGGATTTATAATTCACCTGACTGACTATTTCTATACTAACTTTATTTATAAAAAAATTCACACAATTATTTATAAAGAAGCTTTTGGGCAAGATCAAAAAGATTAATCTGGTATGCCGGCTACTCGACACCTATTCTCTAATAAATATTGTGTTTTTTTTTAACTTAGGTGGTGCTAGATGGCCTGAGTAATATGTTGAAGATGGCTGGTGAGAATGCTGAACAAATCGCCAGCATGATTGAGGAGTGTGGAGGCATTGACAAGATTGAAGCGCTACAGAGCCACGAGAAGATTGAGATCTACAAGATGGCCTATGATATCATTGAACAATATTTCGCTGGAGAGGTAAATAAAGACTTTTTACACAGTTGTGGAAAAAGTCTCTCTTTTTTGGCAACTGGCAACAAAAGTAATGTATTCTGGGTTCACATATTTTTCTTTCTTGATAAACAACACACTTGAGGTTTAACAGCTTTGTTAGTGAATAGTAGAACTCCAAGATATAAATGAAAGTTGACTTTAGAAAATTATTAAAAGTTAAATATCTCAATCTCCTCTGTGCTTCATGGGAATGCTAAATAGTAGGCCCTGTCTGCTGTTTTTTTGTCATGTTAAAATCTATAATATCTTTATGAGTAAGATATACCTGTACAAAGCCGGAGCGTGTCGCTAGTCTTCATTTAAATTCCTGTATCAAACACCTAAAGAGCTTAACAGTTTTATTTTATTGCAAAATTTAATTGAGCAATAATAACTGTTTCAGAAGTAAGGATATTGTTGTTTTTTAATGAATAGAATAGAATTTTGCAATTGTGTATTGAGAAATATTTATAAATACCATACCGCATGATTACCAAGAAAATGGCAATGTTCCAAATTTTTCATATTGAAAGAGACATTTGTTTAGTGGAATGTGTTTGCTTATGTATCAGCACGCATTACTGAATAATTCATAGTTGTTTACATTTTTATATTTCAAACAATCTTTTTTTTTTTAATGATTTCATAAATATGTTAACTTAGTGAATTTTAATAAGGATCTAGCGCAAGTAGTTAGCAATCGTGAAAGTTGAGAAATTTCACAATGGTTCATTGGATGGGTGACCAAAAATTTAAATATTTTTAGCATCTCTGTGCTTCGGAAGGCAATTTAAGCGGTTTGCATCCAATAATCTGCACTAGGTCTGAATAGGTTCATAGCCACATTGTTCCCTCCATCCAATAATCTGCACTAGGTCTGAATAGGTTCATAGCCACATTGTTCCCTCCATCCAATTTCTGCACTAGGTCTGAATAGGTTCATAGCCACATTGTCCCCTCCTCTAGAGACCGCATACTCTATGTTATGGCCGGTGGACAAATTCTGGTGAAACAATGTATTGGCGTTTTGGGGAGTTATATCTCGTATTGCTACAATTTGCTTGGTCTCAGATGGTCATGGTGATGGTCTGAACTAAGCCTGAGGATAATGTGCTGTTGAGTGGAGTCCTAATTTTATTTGGATTTATAATTCACCTGACTGACTATTTCTATACTAACTTTATTTATAAAAAAATTCACACAATTATTCATAAAGAAGGTTTTGGGCAAGATCAAAAAGATTGATCTGGTATGCCGGCTACTCGACACCTATTCTCTAATAAATACTTTACCTACCGTTTTTTGTGTCTCACCAGAGACACAAAACACGGTAGCCCTCATTTGTGTGTCCTAAAGAAGTGTTAACGTTCGTGTTTGGTCCGCAGGAGGAGGACGCAACACTGGTGCCGGCGGCGGCGGAGAGCGGGTTCCAGTTCGAGCCGGCGGCGGGCGCGGGCTCCGGGCCCCACGAAGGGTTCCGCTTCTAGCGCGTGCTCATTCTACCGGCCTCGGCCTCGGCCCCGGCCCCGCAGCCGCGCCGCACCCGCGCGCCGCTCGCTCGCTGGCCGCTCGACCCCGCCAGCGCCCGCGACTCCAACGCGCACTGGCACCGCTTCCCAACGCTCGGCGAGTCGCCGCCCAAGCATTGAGCTGGAGCTACCGTGTGCGCGAGCTGCGAGTTAACTAGCGTCATCTATCCACCGCGCGACTGACCGAAACCTGGCACACTAGCGCCATCTATTGACCGAAACTTTACTACTTTACTGCAGTCGTGATATTCAATTTTCGTACCTTTATGCATTTCTTTATCAAATAATTAATAGATGATGATGAATTCAATGGGGAATGCGAGCGCTACTTTACATACGAATCGTACCTCTTTTTCTCAATCGAATAATTACTTGATGAGTTCAGTTTTAGCTGTATGGAATCGGATGGAGTATCCGAGCATTGCTTTACTTACATACAGCTCTCTAAAGGCTGGATAGTTTTCATATTTATATTTTAGTTCGGTCAGTCGCGTGCTATATACACTTCGCCAAAGGCAACTAATGGTGGTGAGCGCTAGCTAATAAGCTAGGTGCGGCGGTCGCGGCCCGCATTGGGCGTCGGACCGCGGAGGCGAGCGGACGCCAGGCCGGGGCACGGCCGCCTTGTAAAGCGAGCGGCGCCCGTGCCGCGGCCTCGCTGTGATAAAGACTATAATGTGATGTTTGACAGTGTTTCAACTTTGTTTTTCTCGATTTCATAATGTAATTAAAGGACGACGGGCGCGAAATAGGCGGCTCCCGAGCGTACGACGCGTACGCAAAGCGATGTACTCCGCTTCCTATCGATGCTTTTGATAATAATAATAATAACATAGTATTTATGTTTCGATTTTAACTCCCATATGTGTAATATCGTCACAGATTTAAGGACTAGTGGACACCATGTTTTACGGTATGAAATTATGTTCTGACAAACCCATTTGTATCTATATACCAATAAATTCTGTCCAATATAGAAATTGTTTTATTTTTTATTAAGATTCATATTACAAAAGTCGTCAAAATAATGAGGGCAAGGAATCCAGACGGAGTTTCGGTTCCAAGACATTGTAGTCGTAGCTTCTCTGAAAAAAAACGTTGGTGTAAGGACAAATGTAAATAAATGTACTTATTGTATTATTTTGATTATTATGCGTTTTAATGACAATTTTTAACTACCTTAATCACACTGTTTCCTCGTTTAGGGGGTGACTATGAATCAAGTATTTCGTTATGATACATATACCTATATATATATGGTAGTAAGCGTTTTCCATAAAAGTGTGCCGGGCAAAGTGAACTAGCCCAGTGCGCGGGTTTGAGTCCCGTCTCCTTCCTGAACCCCGTGGAATTTTTTCTAGTCAAATTTTCTTTACATTTAAACATCTAGTAGTAAAATGTTAAAAATATAAAAAGTTACATACCTTCTTAACTTCACAAGCGTAACATTTGACGTTACTGTATGAAGACTCAGTCGTATCGTCTTGAAGTGATCGCAGCGTAATGCGACTGTTTAGCGACACTGCATCGTAAAATAGGCCCACTTTCTGCTGGAAACTAATTATAGTACGGTGGTTTAATCGTTTAAGATTAGACAGGTTATTATATTATACACACAGCATCACTTCAGGCTGATAAAACCGTAAAGTATTCAAATTTTCAACCATAGGCCAGTGCTTAGGCGATCCACATTGAAATAGCAACGACACAGCGAGCATTTTCAGTGTGAAATAATTTTGAACCTAATCTACATACTTAAAGGACTTTTTTTGAATGATTCATCATCATGAGAGGTCTGAGAAGGTAGGAGAATATGGTACAGATTGGCAAGGTAAACATGGCTGACTGGACCGGCAAGTTTCTTGGCCGTACCAATTACACTACACTTAATTTCAGGTGAGGTGGAGTATTTAGACCTACAAACAAAAATATATATCTGTAATCGCTTGCTGGGTTATCTAAGTTGTCGCACGCGCGGTCAGAGGTGCGTCAAATATATCACTTAGCCACGACTTTATCACGCTACATTCAGTTTCGGCTAGTTGGATCTTTAAAGACGTCCGTCTGCGATTGTCAAAATATAAAATTCTCGTGTCACGGTGTGCGTAATTGAACTGCTCCGAAACGGCTCGACCGATTTTTGTGAAATTTTATATGCATATTGAGTAGGTCTGAGAATCGGACAGTATCTATTTTTCATCCCCCTAAATGTTAATGTACAAAAATACATACAACCCTAAATTTTCCCGTCAACCCCTATTTTTTTATAGCGGTACTTTTATGAAGGAATTTTACGATATTTTTTATGAATTCGCTGGGACAGCTACTAATTATCTATAAAAGTATCTGTAACTACACGATTTGTTACTTATGTGGCTTTTTTTTTGTGCCTTTTTTTTAGTTTGCAAACGGGGTAATCTTTATATACTTATCTCTATATTTTTATTTACTGGTACTAACGCGATAGTACAGCGTGAGTTCCAAATCGAAGTTACAACGCTGCACCTTTATTACTCCTATGTTTGTAGATACTATATTAATACAATACGACTTTGCCTTGAATATCGAAAGAAAGCTCCCGGGTGCGAATCCCGGTGGGGGCAGATGTTTGTGTGATGAATACGAGCATTTATACGGTTTTAAATATACTTGTATATTTATTAGTATTTATGTATTCTATCCGTTACCCTAGTATCCCATAGCACAAGCCTATATATAGTGCTTACTTCGGGGCTAGGCTAATTGATGTGTGTTTTTTTTTTATTATATTATTTTTTGTTTGTCAGCAGTTACCGTCTCAGTGAGAAATCAACCTACCTTACTTATATCAGCAACTTATAAAAGCAAGCTTACTTCGGCAGCGGTTTCTGCCAGTGGTTGTCCAGGCGATTAACCTTCATGATGGCGTTGAGCCGCTGCAGCAGGCTGTAGTTGTCAGCTTGGATCTTGCGCTTGCGGTCCAGCTCTCGTTGGAACTTCTTCAACTTGACAGCTACGTGAGGTCGCGCTGTCGGCGCTCGGTCATCGATGGCGGGCAAAGCTGATCGTACCTGAACCATAGAACTATTAACTGCCTCATCATCACCAGCCCATTAATGTCCCCACTGCTGGCGCCCAGGCCTTCCCTATGGATGTAATAGGGCCCAGTGTGGATTGGTGGGTGCTAACAACTGCAGATGAAGTCGGGACAACGGCTTAACGTGCCATCCATGCACGGAGGAACTGCATATAATAAGTTTTTGGTCATCCATCCAATGACCGACCACCACCATCGAGCTCCCCAAACTTAAATTAGATGTTAATTGCCTACCCACGAAAATTGGCATAGCGCTGAGAGCAGCGAGACGGTCTGCGTGCATTCGGTACGCTGGACTTTACGCTAACCTGTGGGTATCTCGTCGTTGTGTGCTTCTAACATTTTGGTACATTTGTTCTCATCGCTTTAAGCCATCGCCCATAGCGATGAAGTTGTGGTAGATACCGGTACATACACGGCTATAAAACCAAAGTAGTCAAAAATGCTGATGGTGATGGAAACCGAAAGGTTTTGCAGAAATTCATATTCCTATAGCATTTTTGTAGGTTCTGGCTACTACTTACTATTGCCTAAACTTTCTTGTAATTTCCTGGATGCTTAATATAGGCATTTTAGCAACGTCTTTAAAATACCTAATAACATTCTTTATTATACTCTCAAGAAGATTATGGAAACTTGTATTATGAAAAACATTAGTTTTATAGGAAAATGTAAATTAATCTTTCCCGAGACAGGTGACTGCACTAGCTTATTACTTTAGAATAACCAGGCTCTAACTCCAATAAAAAGAAAATAGAACTCGATTGTTAATCCTAACTAATATTATAAATGCTAAAGTGAGTTTGTTTGATTTTTACTCAATCACGCAAAAACAGCTGAATGGATTTAGATGAAATTTGGCACACACATAGTTTATTACCTGGATTGAGACAGGATACTTTTTATCCAGAAAAAAATTGGTTTCCGAGGGTTTCTCAAAAAACTAAACGTTAACGCGATAGAAGTCGCGGGCGGTCGCTAGCATCTTAAATATAGTTAGCAATAATAGTCAACACTCACTTTAGACCGGTGGTCCTTGAATCTGCGGTCGTCCCATGGCTGGATGAGCAGCTTATCACGTCTCGACAACATGTCAATGAACTCTGCAGTCAGGCTTGTTGAGGTAGAAGTAACCAAATTGTGTTGTTACGTCAATAGTAGCCTTAGATACGCGCCATCAATTAAATTGTTGACGAATTGTGTTTGCTTTGATATCCAGGTAACTGGAAATTCCATTGTAATTTCCGATTTCAAGAAATGTTAAATTACATATTCATATTGCAACATTTTTGGACTATGAAAGTGTTATCGTAATCTGTTGCCTGTTACTTCTGATTTTTACTGTTCTTCTTCTTCTGATATATTATAAACAAATCTAAGATTAATGTATTTAAGAACTGAAAAAAACCATGAATTGTCGAATACAACTCACTCCGCCTTATTCCAAAACGCGGACTAAAGTTAGTCTTGGTTTAAACTTAATGTTGTCCGTATTCTTTTTAGCAATCCAGAGTGACAGAATCAGTTTTATTCCAGGTTTAACTTAAGTCTACGTCTTAAAATAAAGCGGACTACTTATGTTGTAAATGGCCAATTGGTCACTAATATAAATAAAAAAATACGTTCTAGTCTAGACAATTTCTAGACTGACAGAAAAAAAAACAGTCAAGCTACTGAAGTATTTATCAATATATCGAGTAATTTAGAAATTAAGAGCGGGCGCGAGCTGAGAGACATTTGAGAAACAGGTATTTGAAAAAACTATCGCTGTCACGCATTGGCAAATACCGTGCGATAGGGACAACAGTAGTTAACGCTGAAAATTGCGTATAAAAATTGCAAAATTCGAGGTTTGGCTCTCGACGATTTCCTCCTCGAATTTACACAAAGAATAATAAGTAGTTATACTATGCCTCTATGTTTTGATTTTTTTGTAAGTTAAAATCAATTCTTTAGTGATAAAAACTATATAGGAGGTATCAGTCGAGAACTTTGCGCGCCTCCCCTCTTTTTTTTTATAGAAAGGTCCGACAAATGACTTCACGCTACCTGATGTTAAGTGAAGGTGAAGTCCAGACGCGAAGATAGCTGATACAGCAGTTCTACCTGCCACTCCAGCCATCCTCACCCTGCCGGCCTGCATGTTGCTCCGTCACGCCGCTTTTAAAGGATCCCAGGTTGTAAGAGGGAGGGAACACGCGAGCGGAGAGATCATTCCATTTACGGATAGTGCGACACAGAAATAAGTCACCAAATTTCTTTGTACGCGTTGGAATTGTGGCCACAGTTAGACGTTGACAACGTAGGCCAGCGCGCGTGGTCCTCTGAAGGAAAGGAGAGGGTGGGATAAGAGAGAATAACTCCTCAGAACACTCGCCGTGGTACAGACGATAGAACGCGCTTAGTGACGCCACGTCACGGCGTAATTCAAGAGGCTCAAGGTGTTTAGTCACCTCCTCATGGCCTATGATTCAGATCGCGCGCCGCTGTAAACTATCCAAAGCTCCGAGCAAGTACTTGGCGGAGCCATCCCAGAGGTGCGAGCAATATTCCTCGCAGGACCGCACTTGCGTTTTGTACAACAAGCACAGTTTATATAATCATTGTTTTCAATTAATTTGCGTCTTTTTGATTTTGCAATTCTTATTGTGCTCAAGACACTCAAGAGCCGTAATAAATTGAGGAAGAGTCAGGTGGACCACGGGTAAAAATTATTTCCCGTGGTTCAACCAGGTGAACTACGGGGGGGACAAAATACCCGTGGTCCACCTGGTGAACCACGGGAAATAAATAATCCCCATGGTCCACCTAGATGAACTACGAGGTGGACCATGGGAAACAAAGGGTTCTTTGGATTCAGGTCTGAGCGAAATTCCATACCGAGCATGGAAATATTGCTCTGTAGCGGTAGTGTTGTGCCCTGAAGAGGGGGAAGGGGAAGGAATGGCGATGTTTTTGCCGTGAAAGCGCAAGCCTGAGTTTTCTTGGCATTGAACTCAACCAAGTTCCTGGTACCCCATTCGGAAATGTGGTCCAAAGCCTGATTGAGTTCAATGACAAGATTCTCCCGTTTCTCCTTGGTTACCGCCTGCCCAACCGCTGCTTGTCCGAGATACCCCGCATGCACTGTACTATCGTCTGCATAGCAATGAATATTCCCAAGAGGAATCAAGTCATTGATATGCAGCAGAGAGTGGGGGATAGGACGGAGCCCTGGGGAACGCCGGCATTCACTGACATGAACCGTGAACTGCTACCATCCGTAAGGACACGAATTGTACGCTCATGTAGGAAGTCAGCTACCCAAGAACAGAACTGGGCTGGCAGACCGTATGCCGGAAGCTTGGAGAGAAGGCTTTTGTGCCAGACCCTGTCGAACGCCTTGGCAATGTCAAGGCTGATAGCCAACGACTCGCCACGCTTGTCGATAGCCTCACCCCAGATATGAGTTAAGTACGCTAGAAGATCACCCGTCGATCGTTTCGGTCTAAACCATATTGACGATCATCAATCAGGGAGTGATCCTCTAGGTAGCGGGTCAGATGGTTATTAAGGACCTCTGCAATTTGAGGTGACTGCTATTGGCCGGTAGTTTTCTAAGCAAACGTACGTTGTGTGTGTGTATGTTTGCTAATGCCGCCTGAAAACAACTTAAACGGATTACAGAAGGTGGAGAATGAAACGAAAGTTTGCAAATTAATAAATAAATTATAATGTTAGATATAATACACTGCACTTACAAATGGTATCATATTATCATGCTCGTTACATCAGAGAATATACATGAAAACATTCAAACACATGGTTACAATACAAAAAAATATATAATACACATATATACTTTGAGCAATATAAAAATAAAAAAGAAAACAACCACTCGCTATAATCTATCAACCTATTCATTAAAATATATAAAATACAGTTATGTAGTTAGATTTCCTGGTAGGTGGGCACTCGAGACCCGCTACTTAACATTTAAATGCTTACAACTCATTTTGAATTAATAAAAGCTTAGGAATGTAAGTCAGCATTAATTCCGTACATTTGGCAATGTTCGATACTCGTAAAGCTTTCAATATTAATAGAATTAGTGTATTCGCGGGTTTTTTATTTATTTTATTTAAATTTTATTATACATTATCCCTAACCGTTAACTAGCTGTGTGACACTCCGCTGCGTTATTCAATTGCTTTGCTTTATAACACTTATTTCTGATTGACCAGAGTCTAGCATTCAAGTTTGTACAATGGCATATGTAAAAGTGCATTGATTTAAAAATTTCTACGAATGTTTTCCCAAGAACTTGTTACAAAACCCCATTTTTACTTTTTAAATGTTGAGGAACCACATATTGAGCTTAATACAATCGCCCCGTGCGCTAGACTCGAGTCGTCAGTTATCTATACACCAATCATCCTTTATAGCCTCCGTTACTTTGTGCTGCAAAGATTTGGAAATGCTAACAAATGCTTCCCTCGTCAAAACGGAAGACATTGGATCACCAACAAACCAATTTTGGTGCGTATTATGATCGAAATAAGGGTGGAAATAAGTTACCTTTTTTGAGACTACGACACGACTTCGCTTCCGCACCGACGACGGACGAGGAGCGTGCGTGTGTTTTTAAACTATTTTTATTTTATATTTCGTCCTAATAAATATCTACGTTGAGTTTGCCTCGCATTTAATTCTAATTACAATATTGAGTATAAAACGTATTAAATACATCAAAAAGATCTAGTAACTTACGATCACTGCGTTTTGGTATACGACTTGGAATTTATTCGAATAAAATTGTTATTTATTAATGAGATAATATCATTTCTTCTGTTTCTGCACCCGTATTTTCACTGTAATTACTCAATGTAATACAGATTGCAATTTTCAAGCCCTTTTCAACCTCATCTTTTTTCATAAGATTTTTTCATTTAATTCTATCTATAATTAGATTTTCATCATTAATATCTCATATTAATCAGAATGACCAAATCATTCCTCGTAAGATAGAAAGAATCAAAATAAAATACAAGTCGTATACCAAAATTATCACAATTAATTTAATTATAATGTGCAATTACAGTCATAAAGACATTGTAGGATGTTTTCCTAGAACCATAGGAATCAAAGTTATTATTTTCAACCGGCTAAAAAAATCTAGAATATCGTTATGAAGATATTGCATCATAAATTAATATTCAGCGAAATTTCTTATAATTAAAGAAAATCCTAAAAAGAGATGTCCCGACTATTTGACCAATTAGGAAAACACCCTAGCGAGCTATACAACAACGTTCGTCGACATACTCCCTAATCTTAAACACTAAGTTTCGCGTAAAAAAATCTCTACACTTGGTGCATTCATTACACAAATGGTTTGTCTCATCACTGTAAACGAAAAGTTCATACAAAAATAAATCGTTCCATTATTAGAAAAGCTATTTTAATGCGGAAACTATGTTCTTACGTTACAAAAATTGTGGACGCTTTCACTGACAAAGCGACGATTGCACAGCACGGGTGTAGTTAATATATCTTTGCGCTCAAACATGATCTTCATTAATTACTGACGAGTTTCGGTTTAAATTTAATAAACTAATTTATAAGGCAATTTGATAGGGGTGTAGCCGCATGATCAGCTCTAATACTAGTTTTCAAAATTATCACTGTTATTTATATCACTTTTGACAAGCACTATCAGTCGCCACCCGTTCGATGCAATCAGTGCGCTCGATTGGAAATTCTAAAAGGTTCAAAGGTTTTCCATACAAAAGCTTGTTTACACTATTATAATTATTGATAATTGCACTGGAACAATGTATAACTGATCAGATCACTCCTAATTTAATGGGCAAAACAATTAATATTGCATTACAAAACAATAAAATTAATTTATAAAAGTAAATTGAAAATTATAAAAAATACAACTTTTTAGCTGCCGTTGTTATTTTTCACGACTACACTTATGTAGGTAGTTATATCAGTGCTAAAGTGATTGGATTTAAAATATGAATGCGTGTATGATTGTGTGAATGTATGTTTGTATGTATGTAGAAGCGAAAATTGTGATGTCGGCGTTATTGACTAGCAACAGTCACTTCAGTGGATACCAGCCCCTGAGATTCCAAGCCCGCAATGGAGTTTAAATAACATTATAATTTACAAATTTAAAGTATTAAATTACCAATGGCTAATAAAGTCCTAGATAGCTTATCCCGAGGAACTTATGTGCCAGTCAGAATAGAAATTTTGCTTTTACAGGTGTTGGTTAGAAAAATCGTGAAGATTAAATAGCATTTATCAACCAACTTTATCTGTTAGATAGTTGTATATGACCGAAAACTATATAGAAATTCAAACTGGTGAGAACTTAAATTACATCACTATACATTTTCATCCAATCTTTTCTTGTGTTATAGAAATTGACAGCAGATAAAACAGAACAAAAAAGCAAGTGTGCTTATGACCACACGACTGAAGTGAAACTTCTTTAGCTCCATCTGTATGTATATGTACATATTTCATGAACTAGCTATAAACGAAAGAGAGAAAAATAATGTGCGCGAGCACTACTTTCTCTTGCTTATATCCTCCACTCAACTCCCGTTCGCCTCGCCCGAACACACTTTTCGTAACGCGTAACGCATTCGAGAGCAGACCCCCAAGTCAAGCGTGCGTAAAGAAGTTTCACTTCAAAAAGATATCAATACTTGAAGAAACGAAGAAGAAGTTGAAAGTGCAGAACATCAACAGAACATGCCAAACAATGTGTATTTAAACTCCAAATGCTCCTAGTGATTTTGCAGGACACTAATTCGTTGTAATAAAGACTAAAACGTTAAGGGACACATTAATCTACTATCTTGTACTAATCAGACTTTGAACAGCTGCAATGGTGCCATATTACCGCGATGGTGCATCTAATGCGGTGCACCTTCCTAGAAAAGTACAAAAATCCCCCCTCCCCCCACCCCCTTCCGTCCATCCACGATATTCCCTGACAATGACTTACATAATATATATTAACTTACGTAGCCAAACATCACAATGTATATATGCATGTGTTTGTATAAGTGGTACATATTTTTTGTTAAACAGTCGCAGGCGCATCGTGAAATTCATTCATTAGACAAAGGGTTTTGTTCCCTTTCGCTAGCATATTTCTAGAAGATTCGCCGATGTGCCCAGGACATATCACATGGAAACCTGGGAGGCGTACTCTGAACTTCGTAACCGGAGTTGCGGGCGATTTGAAAATTCTCTTATAATAATATATTTGAAGAATTTCATTGCATTGCAGCATAAATGCTCTATAAAAAAAGTCTATGAAATAAATTAAAAAAAACAATAAAAGGCCATTTCCAAATCACCCGAAACTGCGTTAACTTTTTCAGAGTAGACCCCTAAAGCGTTAGATAGTACATGGATTAGTTTTGACCGACGGTATACATACGCGCCTGTCCGATACAATAATTACCTATAAAACGCTGTTCACTATAAAAAAACCATTTAAAAATTACGCTACCACTTACTGGGAACTTATCTAAACAATATAATAATATGATATAGAAAATTGCTCTTATTAAATTACCAATAGAGATGCGGTAAGAAGCCAATTTTATTTGGTTTATTATCGTGATAATTATTATTTTGGCGTTGCATCAACGCCTAATTACACTAGACATGGGGATTATATAATTGGCTGGAATTGGACAGATTCCTCCTGGGATATTGTACTCAAATAACTTTGGGAATCTGTACGATTCTTCATTACAATGTTTCTCGTCTACTTTTCACTTTTCCCCCCACAAACTCTAAAAAGTGACAGGTTTGTGAACATCAGATCCTCACCATTCGGTATCGATTGGAAGTCTGGTCAGCTCTTAGTACAGACAGAATAAAATCGATTATGGTATCGATACACGTCCGCCTCGGTACGTTATATTGATATCGATTAAAGTGATATCCGCATTTAGTCATACTTGTAAAAGCTTTCAAGGTTCACAACCTATTCGTCCTGTTATTTTAAAAAAATTTTTGGACAAAATTAATTGTCTAATTTACTAAATACTTATTTGAAATAATTGTTAAAAAAATGTACCCATGGTTCATGATTGACAACACTCAACGGCCTGATTTTAGCATGGTTATCCAAAAATAAAATTAATTTTGACAGCAATATAGTAGTCCTGTCATACTCAATACAATATGAAAAGTTAAAAGTTTAGATAACCAGACCCACTGCGAGATCTTGCTTTAAAAGTGGTAAGCCAACTCTAGGCAACAACTTACATCATATTAGAGTATATTTTGTACAATAGTAATTAATATTATAAACATAAACCAGTTTGCATAGTCGTCAGTCTTAAACAACTCTGTCTGTCCAAAAAATCCAAAATTCATTTCCATCCCCATTTTTTTTTAATAATGAATTAAAATGATACATATAACAACAAATAACAACAAAAGAAAACTTGACCGAATCTACTTTAAAATAAAAAATATCTTTAAAGACTTCTATTATAGGAATTGACAATTATTTCGTTCGGTTAATGGAACGGTAAACATAATAATAGAAGATCACTTTTACTCTAAGACTAAGGCGATGACCAATACTTTGAGTTACAGGTGCGAAGTGTACGAATCGGATGCTCACAAGGTCGAAATTCGTTTAGCAACATCGTGTGATACAAACAACAGACGGTCGCGGAGAGCTGTAACGCGTAGATTTTAGAATTCCAGTCTTTAGGAAAGTGTTTTGGCTTACCAATAAGGCTGCCTATTGAATACTCTTTTACTGTAACTTATGTCTTGTGTGCATTTAAATTATTGATTGTATCGTGCCATAGAAAACACATCACTACATATCTATCGGCCCACTAAGTGTTATAAGTTATGTGTGTGTGAAAAAATAAATGTTTATCGTTGAGCAATCATTTTAAAAACACACGAAAAGATGGTGAATAAATCAGCTTCAAAACTGCGTAGGTAATAATAATTATAATAACTTTATGCTCAATGTAACATTCATTTATAGCTAAGGAGCGTCAAAACTTAAAATGCTAGGTGGGCCGGCACATGTGTTTGGAAGAATATTATTATTATTGTTTAGTATACGTAACTCGTTTAAGCTCACTCGCACTTCTATTCTGGTTGTAATTAAATGCTCTTTAAAAGACAGAAGAAGCTTTAGTTCACTATCTCGTATAATGAAGCGCTTTCTATTCCAATTGTAATCACGTACTTTCCTAAAGACTGTAATGAACCGGCCCTTATACAAGTGAGGATGACTTGGCGCTTACTTCAGTTCGCATACTGACTTGGCGCTTACTTCAATGCGGTCGCTCAGCAGGCTTGATTGGCTCTCGGTAAAGGGCGCACTAAGTACAGCTTCTCGCCCTGCTTGTTGGTGTATATCGGTGCACGTTGGTAATGGGCAACTAACTGTTCTAATGTGGGGAACTTCCGTTGGCCGATGCAGTATAATGATCCTTCCACATGGACGCGGAAATGTTTGTTGCGACCGGGCGCTTTAAGGGACACGGAGTAATCGCCCACCTGTAACGAAAGGTTGTGATATAGACATAGATGAGAAAGCGTTCGCTGTCTGTGAAGTGAAACTGGGAGAGAGACGAAGCGATCTTACGATCGATAGTTCGTCTAGGTATTGGCTGCTTTCTCTACCTAGCGTCTACTATCGGCAAGACATTTAATATCATTGCTCAAGAAACAATACTGAAGTCGAATACTGCGAACTGGTATTCAACTATACCAGTTCGCAACTCGGACCTAAAGCGCGTTGAGTTAAAAAACAAGTCTCACATTGGTCTCGGAGTCGCGGATGAGGAAGTCTCCGTCGTGGCCGTGCTGATTGAGTAACGCGTCGCAGTGGGTGCGAGTGATGGCTCCGTAATACCACGCGCGACCGCTGAGACCCGTCGCTGAAGGGGCCGCCCCGCCGCCCGATTCGCTGTGGACAATAACAAAAACATAAAAACAAACAAGTTTAACATATTTGTTTCTTAGGTTTTCACGCACATCACTCATTAAATAAAACTAGTTTTTACGGGTTAATGCACGAAAATTTTATTTATTTATTGACGTTTCGTAGCCTGTAAAGGCTTAGGTTTAATCTATATATTGTTTTAAACTTTCATGGTCACTAAGATTATAGCTATTAACGGAGTAACTCCGTGAACATGGCGCTTGCAACAGTGCCGAAATATCGGAGACTCATAAAAAACAAGGTACATGGTAACAAACCCGTTAATAGCTATAAAGTTTAATCTATACATATAATAAAATGGTAGGAAAGTCAAAACTGTACATTGAATATTTTTTTAAAATACTTCTTGGGGTGTGATCTACAATCGATACCGAAGCCAAAAATATAATTTTTAGAATTTTGGTCTGTTTGTCTGTATGTATGTCCGGGATAAACTCAAAATGTACTGCATGGATTTAGTTCAAATTTGGCACGAATATTATTAAGAAGTCGGGTCAACATATAGGCTACATATTATCACCCCCCATAGGTGACAAGCAGTGAACCCTTATTTCTAACTAACTCCACACGTACGAAGTCGCGGGCGGCCGCTAGTACAATAATAAGACGATGGCTGCATGGCTTTGCCTTTCCCAATAGGGAGGAATGGAAATAAAAAAAAGTACTGTGTACTGTCAGACGTACCAAAATCCGCGGCGGATTAGTAGCGGAGAATGTACGATAGATCATATGAAAATAGCTACGACGCAGGATTTCAGTCGGTCGCCCTTCTCGAAAGACAGCTCCTGATCGTTGTCGACGTAAGAGCTGGTTCCCACTTGTCGGGTGTCGGATCCGTATATTAATCGGATGTCGGTGCCTTTGTTCACACACATGATTCATAATCGGTTGTCGGTCTCGATTGAAGCTTTACCCAATTTTAGGCACTCTAAGGGTGAGGCCAAGCGAGCGTAATTTTGTGAGTGGTGAGTTGCAGAATTTCGGTCGCAGAAATTCTGCTGCATTCGGTTTCATACAAATGGGCAGTTGGTGCCACACGACAACGCAAAATGAGTTGTCTGCCGACTCAATGCGCATAAGCACGTCCGAATTTCGGTCGGGGTGAGGGTAGGGCAAGGAAGAGGAGTGGGGAAGCAACAGTTTGTTACAAGTTTTACGTGGTGTAATAATTCTTGAAAAACACGTAATGGCATATGATAGTACTTTTCGAACATATCTGGATTTGCACATAAACGTTCATATAAAGTATGGAACTGTCCACATATCAGCCTCTGACTATTCAGTGGGTTTACCCAGTTTCTTTTTCTGGCCTCATCTTCTGAATATGCTTCGTAAATAAACAATATTTTTAATGGATCCATTGCACTCTACGACACGAACACCCCTTACTAACGCTCAATAGTGACTGAATCAATTACGTTCGTATGACAGCTCAACAGAAATTCAGTTGAACGTAAAATAAGTGACCGAAAATAAGCGACTCACAACTCACAAAATTACGCTCGTTTGGCTTCACCCTAAGCGAGGCGACTGTTCAGAATGGACATTGACGAAGTTCTTGTTGTGATGTTCCTATTATTATTTAAGAAAACAAAGAAATACAGCCATGGAAATTAAATATTGGGTGCACATATTCCTGAGGGAAAGATTCGATTTTGGGTAAATTTCAGAACTTAATAACAGATTGGGAAGTGACGAAATTAAGTTCAACTTCTTAAGGAAGAATTCTTCAATACTTCTATTAGAAAACCTATTATTCACGATAAAGGTACCCGGGCGATCACTCGCGGCTTGCTAGCCACGACAACGGCAATCAACATCTACGGCAGACGCACTGTAGATTACTTGTTACCTCGTCTCATAAACAAAATGGACCCAGAATTTAGAGATTCGCTTAATGAAAAAAATATAAAATATAAACTTAAAATGTTGTTTTTAAATAATATTTTATGTGACAATAATGAATTATGATTTCGATGTGTTGTTCATGTAAAAATATATTGATTATGTATTTTTATTAAAAAAAAAAGTATTTTAATTATTTTAGGATGTCAATATCAACATTCAACGATCTACTGATTCAAATATTATTGAACATAACCTACCAAAATACAGGACTTAGAGACTGCATTTGTACTGAAAAACGGTTGTGTTACGAACGGAACAAGGGGTGGCGGGGGAGGACAGTCAGCCCCGACACCAGACAAATATGAACAGCGCCATTCTTAATCATAGGCGAGTGATCTCCGACACGATTTTTTTCCGGGCGTAGAGGGCTGGCAAAACACCCGACACTTCTTGTCGGAGCCGACACAAAATCGGTTTCCGATAAGTGTGAATAGCTTCATAAATAATGCTCTGCCACTGGAACCTCCGATTAATATACGGATCCGACACCCGACAAGTGGGAACGAGCTCTAACGAGGACAGCGGCACGTACCCGTACGGCTGCGTGAGGTAGTCGGCCAGCTCCTGCAGGTAGTTGCGCGGCACGAGGCCCACGTTGCCGCGCGAGTCGCGCGCGCGGTACCACTCCGGGTCCGACGGCGGCCGCTCCACTATCTCCAGCCGGTCGCCCTTCTCGAAAGACAGCTCCTGCTCGTTGTTCGACGTGAACGAGTACAGCGCCACCTAGGGAAGAAAATTATAATCTAAATGTTACGTATAAATCGGCTTATAGTTGCGGCTATTGCTAGCAAATATACGTAATATTCGACTCGATTTTCTTCAAGAAAATCGAACTACCCACAATATACAGAAATTTGCGTAACAAATATTTATATGCAATGTTTTTGAACTGGAATTACCATATTGTATATTAATAACATAGTTTTAGTAATAAAAAAAAGTTGTAGTGTAGCCGCACTTCAGACTCACAATCAGTCTCAATAAGAAAAAGCCTGCATATATAGACGCGTTATTATGCAGTTTTCAATCACTAATGTTTCGACTGCGGCGCGCTTCGATTACAACGTCAAGCAACGAAAAAGTGTTCAATTAAAAATGTGAACAGCATGTGACGTTAAAAAATAGAAGTGGCAGCACCTACTTTTATAAAACTAAATAAAAAAGACCAAAAAATACAGCGAAATAGAAATTATATTCTACTAGTTGCCCGCCCTCGCTTCGCTTCGGTGTAGAGCTGTAGTGTAGGTAGACTATAGTTTTTGTTCTCAGGCTTGTATTATACACAATATATATATATATATATATATATATATATATTGTGTATATATATATATTATTTCTCACCTTTTCAACCTTCCCTAGACCGCCACGAACATTTCAAGACCAAAATAAGATAAATCCGTTCAGCCGTTCTCGTGTTTTAGCGAGACTAACGAACAGCAATTGATTTTTATATACATATATAGATTAGTCTTTCCACAGACAACTCACCACAATATCGAGGACATTTTCCGCCATCGCGTAAGTATGGACCGGGTCCTCATTGTCACCTTCTTCACTGGTGTAATTCGATGGAAACCTGCGCAAAAAAAAGTATTTAACCGACTTCAAAAAGTAGGAGGTACTCAATTTGGCACGTATGTTTTTTTAATTAAGTAATAAAGATTTTTCTACTACAATATGTTTTACCATAGTTAGAACACGAATTATTTACCTACCTAAATTATAAGAGATATAACCCTGACACCACACTTCTTTTCTTCAGAATTTTTCATTATCTATCCAACTATCGGCCAGTCCTCAGTATAGTGTAAAGTCGAAGAAAAGGTCCGTAACTACCATCTGATCCACTACCTAGCTAGAGGTTTACTGATTAACGATCGTCAATATGGCTTTAGACCCAAAAGATCAACGCGTAATCTTCTAGCATACATAATTCACATTTGAGGTGAAGCTAACGACAAGCATTAACGGCGGTATAACGTTGGCTATCAGCCTTGATATCTCCAAAGACTCCGACAGAGTCTGGCACAAAAGCCTTCTCTCTAAGTTTCCCACATACGGTCTGCCCGCTCAGTTCTGTTCTTGGATAGCTGACTTCCTGTATGAACGTATAATTCATGTCCTTACGAATGGAAGTAGTTCACGGTTCATATCAGTGATGTCATGGTGTGGCAGGTAGAACTGCTGTACTTTCTGGACTCCACCGTCATTTAACATCAAGTGGGTGAAGCCATTTGTCGGACCTATTTAAAAAAAATCACCTTGCTCGCAAACAGGCCAGATGCGTTGTGTAATAAAGCAGGATAGATAGACGTGTTGGTATTTCACTTGCAACTTCTCTAATTTAACGTGAGCTTTAATATACGCAGGAGCAAGAAAGGAATAGATTGATGAAAAAATGCCGAAAATCGCACATACATTTGTTACTACTTTAGTAAGCACATGATCGTCAACCTTTAAATCTCCCCTAATTTAACCGGGACAAATAAAATTCTGTACGTGCTTTTCTGATCCCGACGGAGATTAAACAAATAAATTATCGATCCAATGAAGCTTTACTTACATTAGTTATTATATTACTCAAATCGAAAGTGCCTTTCAACACAATCTTTGAAACACTATGTCATGAACAATAGAAGTACAATTTAATTATAAGCTTTGTTACTTCTCCATTAAGCATATAATTAAGTAGATCAATGGAACTTCCTGTACTGTTACTGAGTGAGCAGTCATTAGTAGTGTCTGCGTGTTAATCTATTCAGAATTAACATTAATAATTGTTGTTTTGAGGCGCTAACCGTACATTTTATGGAGCGCGATCGTGCAGGCGTCTCACTTTTATGATCGTGTGTAGGTATAATGGAAAGGGACAGTGAGAAAACGGGATTTAAGCTGGCTAATCTTATATATACATGTATATTATATTACTTCCTCTAAATATGTCCCTTTGGAACTAACCCCTTTAGTATACTAATCAAATGTTAACATAACAATGATTAAGAAGATAGTCAATATGCATTTAATTAAATGTTCCGCCGCACCACATAGAAATCTCTATTAACTTACAAGTTAAAGTTGATGCTGTCTGTTTTTTTTTGTAATAAAAAAACACTTGTATTAATAAAGCAGTATTTTTATTTATCTTTCTCCCTCGAGAGTTTGAGTATGATCATAAAATGTAATTATTAGAATTTAAAATCAACCAAAATTAAGATTTTTAACCATTTACTTGTGTTAAGCTTGGGTTTGACCATCTGTAATTGAAAATCAGTGATAAAATTTGCATAATAATTTACAAATCTACATTATATTTGTTTCTAATTTCTTATGGAATACTAATGAATTATTTTCTTAGTAGCCCTTGGGTTTCATGAGACATTTCAACTGCGGCGCGCCCAGGTTTTGCATGCATTGCATAACTAAATTGAATAATCATCTGGCAGGCTGCTTTACAGGCGAATGTAGTGCTTAAAACCTATTAATTATAATGACCGCCATTACATCTGCATACCACAGTTTAAGTAAAGACATAATTTGAGTAAGTGAACTGTAATTGAAACAACTTCAAAACAAATCAAATTTGCGTCATCCTTCAAGTAGATTAATAAATTCTGGAGTTACATGATACCTATTTAAGATTAAAGCGGTAAAAAAGATGTCAAATCGTGTTGCGTGATATGAGAAAACTTAAGTTAGGCATTGTATAATTTTTTGTCAAGATAGAAACGTAACTCTCAGGTGTGACCTAATGACTAAAACTTATAGTTTATACAACTAGCAGTAAATGCTTAAAATTAATATAATAAAACCTAAACTATATAGCCTAAACCTGTATATAGTTGTTATCCCAACAAATGTAATAGTAAAACTTAATAACTTTATAATATAAAACATTTGATGAATGATTTATTTGGATATATTGGAAGTTTAGCGATAATTGAAAAAAATACTATAATGTATGACATGATTCACATTCCCTACTAGAAATAGAAACCAAACCAAGTTATTTGTTATTGTCTTATTTAATCTTCTATTCAGAATTTTATATGACAATTTTGTTTGAAAGTTATTCACAAACTTTAAATAACAAATTAAAAGATAAAATATTATAAATGAGAAGAGTAGTAGGCCAAAGCAGATTTTCGGGTCGAATTGGAGCGCCCGTCTGAAAGTACCCTTCACCTTATAATAATACTACCACAGTACTCCACAGTAAAATAATACTACCTTATGAGGTGTTGTGTTATTTCTGTGCAACAGACGTGACTTAATTTCTATTTGTTGTTATTTATATGGTTGTGGATCAATTTCAGTGCTAACTTATATAGTTTAAGTGATTTTATTTGGAATGTTTATTTGAGAGGGGTGAAAATTATCTAAGGTTAAAAATGCCAACACATAATGCTGAAATTTGGGAACATTTTGAAAGTGCACATCTACATAAATAAGCCAGTGATAAAGTGGCGAGTTGTAAATATTGTAGAAAACCAACATTGTCATATAAGGGTTTGAATAAAAACAAATTTAAATGGTATTTTCAACCAATAAAACTATCAGATTTTCATTCAACCATTAACTTTAACTAATAATTTTTTTCAACCATTAACACCACCTTTGCTTACCGTCAAGTGGGCCACATGATTGTTTGTCACTATTTTAACATAAAAAAATCCAAGATATTATAATAGGAGTAGAAGTGAAACATGACTGATTAACCAGATAGAATCTGTAAGTTATGTAAACACATTAAATTCTAACAGGTAACTAATAAAAGTCTCACCATCCAGTATGCCCTTGGTACTGCCCCCGCCACCAGCCATCATTGCTCTTCTCTAGGATCAATATGCGAGTGCCTTTGGTGAGCGACAGTTCGTCGGGCTGCTGCGCCTGATAGTTGTACTTCACGACGGCCGTGCCCAGCGCCTCCGTGGGCTCCACGCGCCGTGCCCCCGGCGATTCCGCCCCGCCACCGCGTACTGGTGACGAATTAGAAGGCAAAGTCTTCGAGCCAGAACCCTTCTTGACTTTCTTTTTAATACTGAAAAATGAAATAGCAAACTTAGTTTTTGAACTCTATACAAATCTTTACATTTATCCTTGGCTGTATTTATCTCTCTAATGCTACGTCTGCCTGAGAAGAGATTGTGGATTAAACATTTTTGTTCTTAGACCTTGTTGTTGCTAAATCTCATTTTTACATTTTATAAAACATCATACAGAAACATTACAAGCACACTGAAAATTAACTGAACTAAAATCATATGCAATACAGAAATCATTTTAATTATAGAAAGAAGTATATAATAATTGATTACAAATTATGAAAGAACAAAATAACATACAATAACTCATGAATAATGAAATCATCTCATCACTATCCCATATGTGAAAACTGACAAAATTAATAAGATTTACATCCAAGAGCCTATTTCAAGGCGAACTCATCAGAAATTCCATGAAAATAGTAATCAAGAGTTTATATGAATAATGTCAACCACAAAATGTTTTCAGTGAATTGTTTTTATTCCAATTGAATTTTTTGCTGGCACAATGGCGCACTCAATAGGTGTTTACCTATTGAATCAGGAAAATGAAAAATCAATTATATTATATACGATCTAGTCTCTCTCTTAGTTATCATAGTAGAAACTTTGCTTAGTTCAGATATAATAATTATATAATTATACCTGAACTTGTTGTACATATGTCAGATTTAGTATACATTCTCATCATACATTTTCTGCATGGGAGAAATGTTCCTGTTTTGTTTTTCAATAAAATAATTATGCTAAATGATCAATAAAAAGGTAAATAACAAATCAGTTTTCAACTGGGTTATATTTAAATCATTATAAATGTTTCCAGTCACACTTAACATTTTTTGATGTGGATACTATGCTGGAAAAAAAATCAAGATAGTAATAAAAGAGGAAAATCTTCCAAAGAACATGTCATGACACACAGGACTGTTGTTATAATCAACATTATTGCAATGCAAGCCATTAATTGAATATTAATTGATACTGCTAAATGCATAATCAGTTTCAAGGAATTAGTATTTTTTTGTAGAAATATGTTAAATAAAACTAGTTTTAATGGGTTAATGCACAAAAAAATTATTTATTTATTGACATTTCGCAGCCTTCTCAGGTCTGCATCGTCAGAATACTGTTTTTTTTTATTTAATTTTGTCGAGCTACCTTTGCAAGACTTTTATTGAGCGTTTGGTTATTTCATTGGAAGATTTTAAAAATTTTATTGTCTATGTATGAATTTATAAGTTAATATAGTTATAAAGTACTTTATTTAAAATTCTTTTTTGTAATTTTAGCTTATTTATTTGACCCTAACTACCGTAAACTAGAAATATGTTATATTCAAAAATAATGATTTAGAATTAAATGCTATGGTATTTCCTATGTTTTCACTAATCATAGTGAACACATGTAATGTGTAAAAAAAACACTTTTGCTTTAGGATTTGTTTTTTTCCTATAATGATAGTGATAATTATATAATAAAAATTATAATGCTGACTCGAGAGGTTGAATCCCGGTGGGGACGGATGTTTGTGTGATGAATACAAGCATTTCTACTCCAGTCATGGATGTTTGATATGTATTTCTATATAAATATATTTATATATGTACAGTAAATGTATTCTATCCGTTACCCAAGTATACCATAACACAAGCTTTACAATGCTTACTTTGGGGCTAGGCTAATTGGAGTGAGTGTTGGAAATATTTATTATTATTACTTATGATTTATATGAAAATTTTCACTTTTATATTGTAATGGGTGATCTAAATAACACAGCTGTTACCTGTCAAACAGTGAAGGTTTCTCTTTCTTCACATAATTACTGGGAACATAACCAGATTGGCTACGGGCATTTTGAACTCTCCACCAGTGTTTCGAGTCATCAAGCAAAAGGTATCGCTCGTTTTTACGAAGGTCCAACTCTTGAGCACCTTGAGCAGCATAGTCATACTTTGCTACGACATAGCAAACGTCATCCTAGAACAAAAACACAACCATAAGTGTATAAACAAAGCAAGAACAATAAGATTTGTTAATAGGATATAACAAATGATTAGACATCACAGGAAGCAAACTACCTGAGCGTTCTTTCCGTGCCTCGTATTGGCCATGGCGTGCGGCGCCGGTAGTGGCTTATTAGCCCAGACCGAGTCTGCGGCACGCACAGACCGCGTCTCCAACATGACACCCTGGGCGGCCGCTGGCTCCAGCCGCACTCACTCACTGGTACATCGCGCTCCCGCACTGCACCACTGCTCCACCTCTGTCGATCGATCACTTGCCAGTCGTAATGCACAACACTCAATTGTTTTCACGGGGACGTGCGAAAATCCGATCGAAGGCAAAGCTTTCAGCGAAAGGGGAGCTGCATTAGAACAAGAGATCCTACTAACGTTTGGAGCTATAGTCCTTGCAAAAAAAACTCGTAACCAAGATTTCTATAACACCGGAAGTAGTTTTTATCACAGTAATCTCACAATGTATTAAAAATTGTAGATTTTTTAATAAAAATTTCACATAAATCGGTGGGGCAGCGATTAATCAATAGACAATATTTTTTTACTCATGTCTGTCATTAGAAAAAAACTTTTGTCAATGGATTCTACTTGTAGTCTATGTGCACGGCCATCACTTTAATAATGTAATTATATCAAATAGCCTAGCCGAATCTCCTTAGTCGTTTTACTGTAGCTCATTTTATTATAAATTATTTCTTTGTTATACCTAGATAATTGTAACTTTAATTATATTTTCTATTAAAATACAGTCAAAAGAGCTAATAGTTGAGTTACAAGTTCAAAAAACATTAATATTAATCGATTAAAGTATCTTGGAAGTATTAGTTCTGACTTAAAGTTCTGACTTAAGTTTCTGCTGCACTTCCCCAGTTTTATAAAAAGCAAACTGAAATAACTGTTATCGCTTAATAAAATTTTTGAATAAGTGAAAAAATAAAAAATACGTGTCCAATTATTTTTAACAATCTACCTAATAGGCGAAGAAAAAAAAGTCATAATCCCTATTGTTTTAGTCAGTCATATATAATGTTATCTGAAAAAAATATTGACATACTGAGTGAGTACGATGAAAAATTATACATATCTTATATTTCAGTGAACTTGTTCATTCCACCTTGTAAATTCTTATCTATCTTTCATGATATGTATAATTCTATCCTATGTACTACCCTCATTCTACTTTCATTAATATATGTGTTATTCTAGCACTTTACTAAACTATTCGTGTTTGTTTGTAGTAAACATGACATAAGCAGAGATGTAAAATATACATTAAAAAAAGTTTCTAAAATACAAAATCCAAGATACCAGGTAGTCAAGTATTTAGATAACAGATACAAAATACGTATTTTCAAAGTACATTTTTTTTTTAAGATAAAGATACCTTTCGAATCACTAGTCTACTGTGCCTGTTTTTTTGATATCAAAACTGTTTGGCCACGCCACGCCCATAAAGACGTGACTGCTGTTTTTTCAATCATCAAATTCATCATCATCATCTTACGATTAATCTTACTTGCATTCATGTTTCTTCAATATTTATCAGAGGGGCCGTCCATTAATAACGTGATGTTTTTTTTTTGCATTATTTAACCCTTGGTGATACATGGTCAGGTAAGACTAAACCCTTCTCCCGGCCGTGTATTTTTAGTACCTACAAACAATTTTTTTAAATATTTATAAATAGAAAGCTTGCAGGTTGTTTTTGACTGACATAAAAATAATGAAAGAAATGTGAAACACTTTTTTATACTAATACATGAACATTAGTATCCTCGGCCCACAAAAATACACGTAATATATTACTACACCCCCTCACCCCTTGTGATATTTCTTGATTTTTTATGAAACCCCCCCCCCCCCCCCCCTTCTAACCTCACGTGATTAATGGACAACCCCAAAAACTATGAATTAATGATAGTTTCGGTGTAATAATTTCTTTAGATACTCTGAAAGTGCAGGGTGTTTTTAATTGGTCATGTTAAGGATGGGTGACCGCGATTATTAATAATATGCAGGTTGTTTACGATTGGTTGGGTTTGGGGTGGGTGACCGCGATTATTAATAATATGCAGGTTGTATACGATTGGTTGGGTTTTGGGATGGGTGACTGTGATTATTAATAACTAGCGGCCTGCCCGCACTTCGCTTCGGTGTAGAGCTGAAGTGTAGACTACAGTTTTTGTTCTCAGGCGTATCATACACAATGACATTCATCTATGATTCTTCTTATACCTGCATGCAGTCTCAGCCCGATCGGTTTAAAATTGCCAAAGTTTCATACAAACTTTCATTCCCTATTTTATCCCCATGGGGACAGAATTGATCAAAATCCTTTCTTAGCAGATGCCTACATCATAACATCTACCTGCTTGCCAAATTTCAGCCCGATCCGTCCAGTGGTTTGGGCTGTGCATTGATATTCTAGATCACTATGTCAGTCAGTCACCTTTGAGTTTTATATATATAGATATGCAGTGTTTACGAATGGTCATGTTCGAGAGATGATAATTATCATTAATAAGCACCGATCTCTCTCTCTAATTATTTGTAAAAATCACCTGATTATTATCTTAATTTCACTCCATTACAAAACAGACCAAAGAAATTTGACACAAATTTCAAACTACTCTTCTTCCTCTAGTGAACGCTAAAAAAAACGCGTAACTTAGCGCACATCTTTCATGGCCTCTGAAAATGCTGCAAAAGTACCGCGCGCAGCTCACGCGCATTGGTGGCATGCAGTGCCCGTCGCGTCCGGCGCCTCCCACCACTTCTCCCACCAACGGACTCAGAACGCGCGATCGGGCTGTTGCTGACGGTTCTGTCTCAACCACTTCATTTAGAAATTGATTTCCAATTGTACATTGATACACATCGTCTACAAAATAAGATGTTGCCTGTTATTTAAAAGCCTTGAATAAATACAAAACAAAATAAAAAAAATAACAAATAGTGCAATGTTTTTTTTTTTCAAAATACCTTTATATAAAAGCATTGAAAGCGGGTCCCAATATCCTACAGGAAATAATGTGGCTAAAAAGACGCTTATCCAAGTATCTTTAAAAAATACGTTTCCACAAAAACAAGCAAAAAGTCAAATGTCAAAATTAATATGTAAGGCTCCATGTAGGGATGTCGAAAGTTGAAAAAAATATCGATATATCGATACATCGATATTTAAAAAAATATCAATATCGGCTTCGATATATCACGAAAAAAACATCGATATATCGATATATCGGACCAATTTTCCCAAAAATATATTTAGGTCAGCCTAGCACAGTAATAATAACAATACAAATTATAATTAAAGAAAGAATTATCAAAGTACCAAATTGCCGCTACACTAAATGGCAGTACAGTATCTCACGAAAGATGATACGAGGAATAATAATTGAACGAAATTTATCTCCCTAAAAATAGTGTCCCTCTACTTACTCACTTCCACAGAATATAATGGAATTCAGCACAACCAATTCACCAGCGAAACAGATTTACAAATCATAGACAATACTAAATACAGCACAGATCATAGATATGTTGAATATCATTAATCTGAGATCCAGTTACGATTTTTCCAGATACGAATTTAGTTAGATCGTGATATGCCGCTAATAATTAAAAAATATCGTTTTTGATACGAATTTCGATATTGGTTATTTTGTATCGATGTATCGATATATCGAATCAAAATATATCGGCTAAAAATATCGATATATCGTACAAAAAATATCGATATATCGATATATTTTCAACAAGCCTAGCTCCATGGTGTCGTAATGTAATTTTTTTAGCAATAAGAGTTCGCCGTCTGATGCGCTAGCATCACTAATACAGTTTGTGCGCATTATACTCTGTAATTGGAAAACTACCTAAAAAGGACAGTCTGTTGTCAAGTTAAAAGTAACAGCAAATACGAGTATCGAAGTGAAGTGCCGGCATTATGAATAGACTGCTCTTGGGGACACAACTACAACTCCTTACTCTCGCTTATCTGTTATCTGTGATTCTGTGTTCGTGAATTCCGTGACGTTTGATTTTATAATTCCAGTTTCTAAAATAATATTATGCCAAATATAAATTCTTTTTGATTAAATAAATGGATTTTAGTCGCTAAATTAGTGTCAGGACTCTAAAATGTCTGACTCGGAGGGGAGCAATTACTCTGGAAATGCTTCGGACGCTGGAAGTGTAGCGTCGAATAGATCCCGAAGAAGTGCCGTCTCGAATCGCTCAGCAAGATCACGTTCAAGCTCAAGATCGAGGTCTAGGTCTCGATCGGGAAGTCGGAGCCCTTCTCGTAGCCCTTCGCGGTCTAGATCTCGCTCTAGATCGCGCTCAAAGTCCCGATCCAGGTACACTCAAATATAACCTCATTACAAGAATTCCTATTGTAACTGTGTTTCCTTGCATAATTATTTCAACGTATACAGAGAAGTTTACAAAATGTACGTCTGAGCATTCATTCTGCAAAGACTGTACAATGTATCTTTCAAGAATAGGATAAAATAGATTAAGATTTATTAGTTTGTGTAGTAAGAAAACTACTAATAAAAAACCACTCTAACCACATAATAATTATTATATCACGTATGTTTAAAACAGTCCCATTTGGTTGACCTCGCAGTTATTTAAAAACTTATATTCAGCACCTTCAAAGGAAAACATAGGTAGGGCAAGTTTTAGTTACTTTATATGTGTGTAAAAAAGAAATAAAAATATGTCAAACTGTTCTTGTTGGATCTGGGACATGACAGGTTAGGTTAGTGTAGTTATCATAATGCACTAGCGAAGCGACAAAGGCCAGCGAAGCACTAGGAAAAAGGTTTTGTAAAGGGAGATGAAAAATTAGGTTATTATATTGAAATTCAAAACTGGGTTTTGCAAGAATGTTCTGTTATATACTAACGTCAAGAAAGTTTTATTGTGGCATATTCATCAGGTTGCTTCTTATACATTTTTTTTATTCTGTAAAAATGTCATATGCAGCATGTAGATCTCCACATATGTTACAGTTTCAGGAATCTGGTTCTTTAAAAACACACTGAATAGGCTAATTAACAGAAATAAAGTTACCATTATTGGTTTGTGTATTTAACATTGATATTTGGATTAAATTTACTATTGTGATAAAAAAGTATTTGATAATATTACAAAAAACGAAAAGTATTTTTTTATCTATTGCCAAGGGACTGAAAATGCCTAGGATTGGCGGAGCCTAAAATGACTTCACCTGTTTGTAAACATACTGTCGAAGTGACATTACTTTTTACTGTTTCAATTAAAGCTCTGTGACTTCACTTGCCTGTAAGACACCATATTGGCTAGAAAAATAGTTTGATGAAATTTGGTAAGCATATAGTTTATGACATGGATTATGACATACAATACTTTTTATCCCGGAAAATTGTTCGTTGTTGAGGGGTTTTCTAAAACTAAAGTTAATGTGAATGAAGTAAGTTGCAGGCGGCTGCTAGTAATATATAGATATTTTCATCTTTACCAAATAGCTTTTTCCTTTAAACTAATATGTAAGTGTGCCTACTACAGAATTTTTACGCTCTTGACATGAGATATAAATATTTCATTATAATAAAAGTGGCTATAACTTAATCTTCAACAGGAGTAGATCAGCTGGCTCTGATGGGAGTCGCAACAGAGATGATGAAGCCAAAGAAGCATCAGGGGATGAAGAAGTTGAGGTGAAAAATTATCTTTTAATAAATTGTAAAATTAATGTCCTATTACTTTTCTCTGAAAAATATAGCAAGAAATTAAAAAATTTTGCTTATACTTTCATTAATAAAAAATTGTAATAAACTTTATATGAGCTTACATTGCTTGATGATTCATGGTATTAAATAATAGAATATAACCTTATTACTTATATTTTACCATTAAACTGCAAGATGTTTAAATGTAAGGAATTTAGAATATAACATACCCCTTTATACCATCACCCCTATTTCATTCCTTGTCACTCAGGAGGCGATAATTATATTATATAAATTCTCATAATTATTTTGTTTTTGATAGGATGAGCAAGAGCCAGAAGGTGAAGATTTAGTAGATTCTGAAGAGTATGACGAAGATGAAGATGAAGAAAGGCGTCGCAAGAAACGCAAAAAGGACAGCCGCTATGGTGGTTTCATTATTGATGAAGCTGAGGTGAGATACATTCTACCTGATATCCTATTTGTGAAAGTCAACCTCAACTTAAATATACAAAAACAGCTAAATGAATTTGAATACTATAACTTACTATATCGAAAAAAAGTAGAAAAATCATTATAACACTAATTTTTGAATAAAGTGTAAGTTGTTGAGAGTATATTAGTCTTAGATAAATTTTGGTATCCCATGGACTTTTTAAATCAATGTAGTTTAGCTATCATTGGCTCACTAAAGAGTTTTCCTAGGGAAATTTTGTAGTCTAAAGCACATGAAGAAAATCATGGGCTGTGTAATTCTATTTACAAATATAAATGTATACCATAAAGTTGTGCACGAATTAAGGATTTCAAAATAGTTCATGAACTAGGTAGCTATTGTATCTCAGAAACTAGAAATTACAACAGATGGATACTGTAAGGTCTGTCATGTGCATCTTAGAATCCTGGGCTTGAATCTTGCATTGACTACTGGATTTGTCATGATTATTTTAAGAATTGTCTTTAATTACTTTTTTGTTATTGGTTACTATTTATTGACGTTGTAGGGTGTAGGAATTTACAATTAATGCACCTTTAATCCCAAAAAATACTCTTGACTGTAGGTCGACGATGAGGTTGACGAAGACGACGAATGGGAAGAGGGTGCACAAGAAATGGGCATCGTTGGTAACGAGGTCGACGAAATCGGACCTACTGCCCGCGAAATTGAAGGACGCAGGAGAGGCACCAATCTCTGGGACTCGCAGAAGGAAGAAGAAATAGAAGAGTATCTCAGAAACAAATATGCAGACGAATCAGCTGCCCTCAGGCACTTTGGCGAAGGAGGCGAGGAGATGTCTGACGAGATAACGCAACAAACATTGCTACCAGGAATCAAAGACCCTAATTTATGGATGATTAAATGCCGCATAGGGGAAGAAAAAGCTACAGTTCTCCTACTCATGAGAAAGTTCATAGCTTATCAGTTCTCTGAAGAGCCATTCCTAATCAAATCTGTAGTGGCACCAGAAGGTGTTAAGGGGTATATCTACATTGAAGCATACAAACAGACTCATGTTAAGAATATAATAAACAATGTAGGATCTCTGAAAATGGGTGTTTGGAAGCAAGAGATGGTCCCTATTAAAGAAATGACAGATGTTTTGCGAGTTGTCAAAGAACAATCTGGTTTGAAACCAAAACAATGGGTCAGGCTAAAGAGAGGCTTGTACAAAGATGACATAGCTCAAGTAGATTACGTAGATTTGGCTCAAAATCAGGTTCATCTTAAATTGCTTCCTAGAATCGATTATACTCGGCTGAGAGGCGCCCTAAGGACAGTGCAAAGTGAAAGTGAAGCTGCTAAAAGGAAGAAGAAAAGACGGCCTCCAGCAAAGCCATTTGATCCAGAAGCCATACGCGCTATCGGTGGAGAGGTGACCTCAGATGGTGACTTCCTTATATTTGAGGGTAATAGATATTCAAGAAAAGGTTTCTTGTATAAAAACTTCACTATGTCCGCCATCTTGGCGGAGGGGGTGAAACCAACATTGACAGAGTTAGAAAGGTTTGAGGAACAACCTGAAGGTATAGATATAGAACTCGCAGCACCCGCCAAAGACGACCCGACTAGCCTTCACTCATTTTCAATGGGAGACAACGTCGAAGTTTGCTCCGGTGATTTGGCGAATCTGCAGGCCAGAATTATTGCCATCGACGGCTCCATGATTACTGTGATGCCCAAACACGATGCTTTGAAAGATCCGCTTGTGTTCAAACCGAACGAATTGAGGAAATACTTCAAACAGGGCGACCATGTGAAAGTGCTGGCCGGCCGTTACGAAGGCGACACAGGTCTAATTGTCCGCGTAGAACCGCAACGTGTCGTTCTAGTTTCCGATCTAACTATGCACGAGCTCGAAGTTCTTCCGAGAGATTTGCAACTCTGCTCCGACATGGCGACCGGTGTAGACTCCCTCGGTCAATTCCAATGGGGCGACATGGTCCAACTCGACCCGCAGACCGTCGGCGTCATCGTCCGCCTCGAGAAGGAGAACTTTCACGTGCTCGGCATGCAGGGAAAAGTGATCGAATGCAAACCGCAGGCGCTGCAGAAGCGGCGGGAGAACAGATTCACGAAGGCCCTCGACTCCGAGGAGAACACGATACAGAAGCGCGACATCGTCAAAGTTATCGACGGACCGCACGCCGGCCGCAACGGCGAGATCAAACATCTATACAGGAATTTCGCGTTCCTGCAATCGCGGATGTATCTCGACAACGGGGGCGTTTTCGTATGTAAAACTCGCCATCTGCAGCTCGCCGGCGGCAACCGGGGCGTCGGAGCCGGAAACGGCCCCGGGCTCGGATTCATGTCGCCGCGCATACAGTCGCCCGCGCACCCCGCCGGCCGCGGCGGCGCCACGCCTCGAGGCAGGGGCGCCGGGCGCGGCGGGGCCTCCCGAGACCGCGAGCTCATCGGCCAGACGATCAAGATCACCGGCGGCCCGTACAAGGGCAACGTCGGCATCATCAAGGACGCCACCGGCAGCACGGCCCGCGTCGAGCTGCACTCCACCTGTCAGACGATATCGGTGGACCGCGGGCACATCGCGGGCGCGGGCGGCGGCGCCGGCGCTCCAGGAGGCGGCACATCGTTCCGCACGCCCGGCCGCACGCCCGCCATACACGGCGCGCAGACGCCCACGTACCGCGACACGGGCGCCAAGACGCCCATGCACGGCTCCCAGACGCCCATCTACGACGCGGGCGGGCGCACGCCGCACTACGGCTCGGCGACGCCCTCGCACGACGGCGGCCGCACGCCGGCGCACGGCGCGTGGGACCCGACCGCGGCGAACACGCCCGCGCGGCCCGATTTCGACTACGGGCTGGACGACTCGCCGGGGCCGGGCTACGAGCCGCCCGCGAGCTACTCCCAAGCGGGCGGGCCGTTCACGCCGCAGACGCCGGGCACGATGTACGGGTCGGACCACACGTACAGCCCGTACCAGCCGAGCCCGGCGACGTACCTGGGCACGCCGAGCCCGGTGGGGTACTCGCCGCGGTCGCCGTTCGAGGGCGGCGGCGAGGCGGCGGCGGAGTGGCACACGCCGGACGTGGAGGTGCGGGTGCGGGCCCACGAGGACGCGGCGCTGGCGGGCCAGGCGGGCGTGCTGCGCGGCCTGTCCGCCGGCATGTGCACCGTGTACCTGCCGCTCGAGGACCGCGTCGTCAACGTGCTCGCCGACCTGCTGGAGCCCGTCGTGCCGCAGAGCGGGGACAAGGTCAAGGTCATCGCCGGCGAGGACCGCGAGGCGGTCGGCCAACTCATCTCGATAGAGAACCAGGAGGGCGTCGTCAAGTTCGGCACCGACGACATCAAGATCATGCAGTTGCGACACCTCTGCAAGATGAGCTCGGTGTGAGCGAGACCTACCTGATGATGTTTAAAAGAGAAAACGACAACTCTTTGGATCTCCCGGTTTTGGAAATTATTATTTTAATTGCGTCTGATACTCTAGCTTTGTGCTATAACGAACTGATAGATGAATTGCAACATGCAGATTCTTTTATGTAAGCGAAACTAGTGTATAGTCCATTCTGCTACTGTTACATAGAGTATTTTTAATACTGTATTTATATTCAAACATTAGTTATTGTAGTAATATATGTTATTAACGGGATTTATACCATGTACCTTGTTTTTAGCAAGTTTCAGTTACTCCGTGATCATGGCGCATGCAACAGTGCCGAAATATCGCAAACTCGCTAAAAACAAGGTAACAATCCCGTTAATAACATATATTACTATAATGTTAGTGACCATGAAAGTTTAAAACAATGAATTATTGACCAAATCCTTTTCTGATTTGTTTAATTTAACCGTTTTTTTTGCACGCTCTATAGAAAAGGAATACCTACTTAATAATACAGCAAAATATCAAGTTACCTTGGTAAAATATGACAGCAGAAAAAACATCTGCTTCGAGCTGTTAATAAGTTTTGTTTTTGTCTACCATCTTCCGTTATTTACCGCTCCCGCTCCCGGTACATTCTCTTGAGTTATATATTTTTTATGCTACTTCCAACTGTATACCCTTGACACACTTGTATTATTATCTTATAAAACCACGTGTGACTAAAAGTAATATATTGAGGTGATGATATTTTACTGAAACAATGTTTTAAATGTTATTTACTGATTTAAATAAACCAGAAATAAAAATTTAAGTATTTGTTTCATTACGTTTACTATATTGCTATTTCTTACATGAACTAAAAAAGTAACAGCTGTCAATTACGAGTCCGACTTTTTACATTATTGGGCTGGTTTCCTATGAATCATATTATATCATATATATAGAGTAACACAGCTGACGCGGCTAGGAGGGGAGTATAAGTGTCGCCGTACACGTACCACACGCCCAGTGCCGTCTTTGACCTATTGGAGGCCCTAGGCATATTAGGATAATGGGGCCCCTATGGCTTCCATTTGGTGATTTAACAGGAACTAGGGACTTTGTATTTCTATCTGAGGGGGCCCTCTATCGACCGCGGGGCCCTGGGCACTTGCCCAAAGTGACCACTGGGAAAGACGGGTCTGCACACGCCACAGCCACAAACGCCGCCAGCCCGCCACGAGAAGCTAGAAGCGGCTACTAAAGTGGCTGAAGCGCGCGACAGCGGCCGACTAAGGTAAGGGAGAGAGGGGTGGGGAATCGCGCGAGTGACGTGTGGCGGCGTTTTGTATCGGCGCATTAGGCGCTTTGCAGACGGCGGGGCGGAGCGGGCCGGTCAATTTCGCCGCGAATGATAGCACAAAGTGAATCCTATACTTCAAACGCACACAGAGGGCAAAAAGACCGCGCCGCAGGTGCCCGGCGGGCACTACCAGTTTATATGCAGTAATGCAGACGGCGGCGCGGGGCGGTCAGCTTAGTCCGCGCCACGCGCTTTTTAGTCATGGACTATTCACTAAAACGAACGTCCTGAACTGACTGCCTCTGCCCGTCGTGTGCTTTGTGTACGCGGCGCGGGCAGCCGCAGACATCGACGGGCAGACGCGGTCTTTATTGCTTCGCGGACAAAAAGCGCGCCCCGCCCCATCGTCTGCTAAACGCCTTACCATTTCAGCATAAGAATTTCATTGTGTTCAAAACGAAACATGAAAATTGTAAGTACCAAGCGAGTTTGACCGTTCGACACATATCAGCCTATTCACGTATAGTGTGCTACTTTTCGTCGTCTTTGCGAATGGCAAAACAAAGTTGTTAGGTATATAAAATAAAACATTCAATCATGATTTTATTAACATTTATTGAATAAATAATACAAAATTGTTTTTTTTGCAGTTGCAATATTTAAGAATTTCAAACACAAAATACAGTCACATCAACTGAGCAAATAACTCCTACTTAACAATTATGATTTCACATTTAACTCCCAAGTAATTTAAAAACTTTCTATATAGTATGTATAGAAAAATATGTTGCTACCTATTATAGTAACACACAATCTAACTAACATAATAATAATTATTATGACATTTTAATAAATGTTGGAATAATATGAATATTCAGGTAACCACCTGTACCCACCGAAAGATATAAACACTGAATTGTTTACTAGGTATATGATTAAATACAGAAGTATGGATTGCGTCGTTCCGTTATACATAAATGCTCAGCGAAATGCGGCAGGAAAAAAATGCTACCTACATTACGATCGACATTCGAAGTATACTTGACTAGCCCTCGGTGCCGTGCAGCGATTGTGCACCGACATTAAATAAGCCATGATATTATTTCTCACAATAAAACTAATCAACAAAAGCGCACCCGTCCCGCGAAGCTGCCTACGGAACTGTGTCACTAAACAATATTAAAACAAACCATATTTGGCTCATATTATTGATTTATGCAACTCCGTTACTTCACACAAGAACACAACTCTTTACGGGTGTATTCCGAAATGTACATCAGTATACTGGCCAGTGGTAATGACGTCACAAATTCGACGCCATATTGTACTGGTATGCTACCATATTTTTACCGGGAAAACGAATATGTCGTATAATCGAGAATTTTCTTTTTTATTTAAAGAACAATAATGGCATCCGAACAAAAACAATTCCTTTTAATTGATGAGGTGAATAAAAAATCTTCTTTATATAAATCACTATTTTTCATATTTCGTCGATCCATGACGTCATTAGCACTGGCCAGTATACTGGTATATATTACGGAATACACCCTACATCGCATTACATATAAACGTAAATGACATTATTATTGCGAAATTATTACAAAGACTTAAGTGTAAACGTAACCCCGATACCTCTAAGTACTAAGATCAAGTACCCCTAGCACGAACCAAAATCGAATTCGTAACGTTTGCGAGTACGAAATGTCATTGTCAAATTTTGTATGGAAACTTGAACAGCAGCGCCACAAAGGACGTAACGAGAACTAAAAATCAGTGCACATTTGACACTGACATTTCCCATTCACAAACTATTCGAATTCGGTATTGGTTCTTGCTAGGGGTACAGTACTGATTTTTAGTTCTCGTTACGCCCGTTGTGGCGGTGCTGTTCAAGTTTCCGACTCGCAAACTATTCGAATTCGATATTAGTTCGTGCTAAGGGTACAGTTACTCTGTACGAGTGAGATGGGAGTCTGACCGCGCTGTCTTTTGCTTAACTTTCAAATGACGATCCGACCCCACCACTCGCACTGTAACTATACATTTGAGATGCTAGGCCAATATCTACAAGTTCATTTATCTAAACATTTTTTACTCTGGTTATTTCACACAAGACTTATTCAGTAAACAATTTCTCCACCTTATTAGAAAACGTAGACTAAAGTTAAGCCTGGATTTAAAGTGATGCTGTCTCTTTTGTTTGCTAAAAAGAAGACAGACACAACAGTCGGTTTAAACTAAGACTAACTTTTTTTTAACCAATACTCACACCAAGTAACGGATAGAATACATATACTGTACATATATAAGTCTGTTTATATAGAAATACATATTAAACATCCATGACTGGAGTACAAATGCTCGTATTCATCACATAAACATCTGCCCCCACCGGGATTCGAACCCGGGACCTCTCGAGTCGGCGACACCAAGAAACCTGGCGTACGAACCACTCGACCACGGAGGTCGTCTGCGTCGGACTTTAGTTTGCGTTTTGGAATGAGGCGGTTTATGTCACATGTATTTTTAATAATAACTTACATATAACATTTTTTTATCAACGCAACGCGACTTAAGTGAGTTAAAAATGGATTTTTATAATAAAAAAATTGTATGCCAACTGTTTACAAAATGAATCTGGTGAGAAAAACCAAACTTATGCGTAGACAAGACGCGCACACGCACTGCATTCACACTGTTTAACCATTCGATCAGATCTATGCGTTTATAACATAACTTAGAGTTGGCGACGAACCGCATCGTCGATCTAATAAGTAGTAGTTCATTAAACATGTACTTTATACAGAAATATGTCGACCGAACTCACACATGCAATTGTTACTATCCCGGTTAAAGAGAACTACGGTATTTAGAGAAAAATAAATATGTACAAGTCTTACAAGAAACTAAATACAGAAAGTTGGTCTCCGTTGGCACCGCGCGCCCATTTATTCCGTTGATCCATCATCAAACAGCAATATCAAGCCAACTTATCCATAGAGTAGATAAAATTTGATTCTCATCGTTATGCTAATTTTCTACACGTATTCTACACGAAAAAACAATCAATTAAAATTTGTTAAACTTTTGCCTTTTAAGTATAATATAATATATATATATATCCTTTATATATACATAGTTAACTAAAGTTAAGAAACTTAGGAATAGAAGAGTTTAAAATGCTCATTGTAGGCCAAAACTTAATAAAACAGGTAACACATTCCCGACTATAAAATGGCTACTTTAAGATAGTTCAACGGAATAGCCACGTCGCACTGCGATTCGTGATGCGTTCAAGATATACAAAAAAAGATGGGCGCGGGCACGTTCCGAGCTAATCTCGAATAAGTCTGAATAAATAATTTACATGCACTTATACTATACAGGTAAAGTGCGATTCAAACTTTTTAGCGGCTGTTAAGTGTCAGTACCTCAAGCACGAACAACTAGCGACAGAGTATCGTATCGCCATCGTCAGTTTTTTATGAAAAGAGCTAGTTTGCTCTTACGTCCGGTAGGGGCGCTTCTCAAGTTTCCATAGAAACTTTGACATGGCGATACGAATACTTTCTCGTGTGAGTTGTTTCTGCTTGGGGTACTGGGTGCCAAATGCATAACGGTATAGCTATGGCTATCGAATACCTCACGCTCATTTTCTTTAATATTATTATTACTACCAATGCAAAAGAAAAAATAGAGCGCGAGGCATTTAAAAACCTTCGGCGGTCAGAAATCGTAAATGATAGCGATAGACTTAGTAATCGCGTTAGGCGATTGGCCCCGTTTCAATTCAGTATAAGAATAGAGTGCGGAAGGCGGCTCTAAAAGTGTTCGTCTAGTAGAAAGAGAAAGAAGACGAGAGACCGCTAGCTATCTCTCTTACTTGTGACGCATGGCATCACATCGAAATAGTAAGATGCTTACGGTTGCCAAAGCGCATGCGCGATTAGAGAGAAAAGCTAGTGGTCTCTCATCTTCTTTCTCTTTCTATTAGAGGGACACTTCCACTTCTCATAGAGTCTATATCTCCCCTACTCTATTCTTATACCTCTATGGTTAGATAACACGCGCACCTACATTATCCTACATTTCGTTTGTCCACAGCCGCCATATTAAGTTTGAATCGCACCGTTTCTAAGCCGCGCCCGTTGCGCCGGTGCCATGGAGATATGCGTAGACATCGTGTGGAGTTGCGAGTCTCCGCACTCGATCGCGTATACACACATTATTATATCCAAATGGAACAATCATAGCCGCTGACGCCGATAGATGGCGCTTACGTTAAATAATAAATATCATATAAATAGTAGACGTTACGTAAAAAAACCTTGAAGGGAACTAAAATTCCGTTTTACAAAAGAAAATTAAAATGTGTGTGTACAAGAAACAGCAGTTTATAGATTTAGGTTTTATACACCTTTAGGAATCCTTTAACATTCCAAGAGCAACTATTATACATGCTACATTTAAAATGAGTTTTTTCGGCATTACGTAAAAACCTTCTTTATTTTCTGAACCCAAGGCTCATTTTTACGCGACTTTCGAATCATAAACGCTAACGCGATCGTGTGTAGAGGGTTCTCACTCGGCGCTGGGAGGATTAGTTTGCTCACGAGGCGTACATCCGCTTGATGTCCTCCTTGTATCGCTCTTGGATGTCTTTGCGCTTGATCTTGAAAGCGGCAGTCACTAGGCCCATATCGGGAGACCATACTTCCGTGCATAGTTTAATGGCGAGCGGCACTTCGAACTTCTCCAAGCCACCTGTTTGACAATATTATGACTGGTGTTAGTAAGGTAACAAGAGATAATGATCTTCGCATTTGGACTTTATCATCACTTAACATCAGATGGGGTAGAGTCATTTGCCTACCTAGCTATATATAAAAAAAAATCAATAGATATCGTTATATTTGAATTAAAATTGAATCATCTAAGGCGCGAATTGTATCTTGCGGCCATTAATATCCGAAATACGAGGGGAGGTCAATAAGTTCGCGGAATGGAGGGGTTGGTGGGGGTAGGTTTACTCATCCAGGTAGGCACTAGTTGAGCACCTCATTAAGAGTATATATACCAAGTTTAATCGGGTCATTAACTTTTGAATTATCGAACTGCAAACAACTGAATCGGGAAGAAGTCAGCCAGTATGGAGAAAATTGAACACCGCGCCGTTATTAAGTTCCTTACCAAGCAAGGAAAATCCGCTCAGATTATTTTTCAAGAGCTGTTGGCGGTTTACGCGGACTCTGCCCCTGGTAAAATCATGGTTTACAAGTGGCATGGTCTTTTCAAACAAGGAAGAGAGTCCATTGAAGACGACCCCCGCTCCGGACGGCCAATTGAGGCCACCACACCGGAAATCGTCGAAAAAGTAGAAAAACTTGTATTGGAAGATGCCCGGTTGAAGAAGAAGCAGCTTGCAGCAATGATTGGAGTATGCGAAACAAGTATTTTGAATATTCTACATCATCATCTTGGGATGACTAAGGTCAGTGCAAGATGGGTTCCGAGAATGCTTACGCCACTTCAAAAACGCGAGCGTATCGAGTGTTCTCGCCAGTTTTTGGAGCTCTGTGGAGAGAGAAAGGAAGAAGTTATGGCCCGAATCGTTACTGGTGATGAAACCTGGGTTCACCACTATGAACCCGAGTCAAAGCAAGAGTCAATGCAGTGGCATTAAAAAGGCACACCTCCTCCAAAGAAGTTCAAAGTGACACAATCGGCTGGCAAGATCATGGCGACTGTCTTTTGGGATACAGAAGGTATTTTACTGATCGATTATAAAGAACGTGGTGTGTCTATAACGGGACAGTACTACGCTTCTTTACTAGAAAGATTGAAAGAAGCCATCAAGGAAAAAAGAAGAGGAAAGCTGTCAAAAGGTGTGCTCCTTTTGCACGACAATGCACCCGTTCACACGTGCCATGTTGCGACGGCTGCCATTCACCGATGCGGCTTCGAACAAATGAACCACCCACCCTACAGTCCAGACTTGGCACCCAGTGACTATTATTTATTTCCAAAAATGAAGAAAGAGCTGCGTGGAAAAAAATTTGACGACGATGAAGCAGTGAAGTCCGCAATTTCGGCCTATTTTGACACCAAAGACAAATCATTTTTTTTCGATGGTATAAACAAGTTATTTGAGAGATCTGAAAAATGTATTAGGGTTAAGGGAGAATATATTGAAAAGGAAAAATAATTTGGTGTTTAATTTCAACCTCCTTCCCTCTTATTCCGCGAACTTTTTGACCTCCCCTCGTAGGTTCCAATAATAAAGTTCTTTCCCCCTCTCGTTAAGTGATTTAGAGTGCTCTAATCCTGGTTGGTTTAACCAGTATTTTTTCGATTCGCTTTGAAGGTCGTCCTTAAGAATTTGCATAGCATGGTTTTTAGGGATGCCACAGAAAGGTTCTGGTCCCATTTGTTGCCCCTGTGCCCCTCCCTGCTCTTGCTAAATCATCAGTTTTCTCGTTGCCAATTATCCCTGAATGACCTGGTACCTATTTAAGAATAACTTTATTCTTTTGGCCCAGGTTATTCAGTTTATCAACGCAGTCTTTCACCAATTTCGAGCATATCATGTTCGAGTTCATGGCGTTAAGCGTTTCCTGGTAGGAAGGTATCGTCTCCGAGCATACCATCTTGATTTTTAGAGCTGTCTGAAATCCTAAGAAAGCACACTTTTATTCATCAAAAAGAAATAAAATACTTACATTTCTTGGCATGATCCGCTAGTTCTTTCAGCACGGCCTTCTCAATTTGCGGCGATTTGCATAGTTTCTCGAAGTCTAATTCAGGCAGCCCCTCTCGTGCCGCTAATTCTGCCAATCTCGCCGGGTGTGGCACTAATAAAGCCACGGTGTAAGTCTTAGAGCTGTCGCCGTATACGCAAATGTTCTCTACTAGGGGGCAAGTCTTCAATTCCGCTTCCACTTTGCCTAGGGAAACGTATTCGCCGGCTTGTAGCTTGACTAGGTCCTTCTTGCGGTCTGGTAAGAGTAGGAGAAATTTTGTTAAGTGACGAATCAATTGGGGATTTTGGCGGTTAACATTTATATTAAAAGATATCATTTAAAGATAGATAGAATGAAACGTCAATAAATAAATAAAGTTTCGTGCATTAACCCGTGAAAAACTAGTTTTATTTAATGAGTGATGTGCGTGAAAACCTAAGAAACAAAGAGATAGAATGAATCAAGAGGTGGTTTATGCAGTTACTAGTGCGTGACGTCATACAACTGTCATTAAAATGTGAAACGATATAATATAATGTCACTTTGCCCGGTAGTTTACTAGCGTGTGACGTCATTTTAGTCTTCGCCAATCCCAGGTATTTTCGGTCACGTGACCATAGAACAATAAAATCATTGTTATATTATTTATTTCTGAAGCATTTAACTGCTTGATGTTTAAATCTAAAGAAATTCTTTCTAGAAAAAAATATACGCGGACCAGGGGGCCAGATCAGGTATTTGAAAACCTTCGGCGATCAGAAATAACAAAATGAAATCGTAAGCGATAGCGTTTCCCAAAACAATCCCGTTAGGCGAATGGCCCCCAGGTCCTTCTTGCGGTCTGGTGAATCATAACTCTTCATTTTTTTTTTTGCAAATGTTATTAACTATTTGTTCCCTCGGAATAGTAAAATCGCTTCTAATATTCATATTGAATACAGATGCCAACAATTTACACTATATTTTTTAATACTGTCAAATAGCCTATTGTTTTTTCCAAATTCGAAATGTAAGTATAAAATACCTATGATCTTGATGCACCCGTCGTGGTGCAGCTCGCCAATGTCGCCGGACTTGAACCAGCGCCGGCCATCGATCTCGACGAACTCGTTGCGCGTCTTCTCCGGGCTCTTGTAGTATCCTTCGGCTACGGAATCGCCGCCGATCACTATCTCGCCCTGGACATAAAGATTAACCGTGTTTCTTTAATTCTTATTATATATATACTAGCAAACCAGTGAACCAAATGTTCACCAAAACCTGATTTAAAAAAAAATGTATTTAATTAATTGAGAACTTCGGAGATTTTGTGTGGTTTCGTTTGAAATTCGTGATTTCTCTAAAACCGGAAGTGCTACGTTACTCAAATCCGGTTTGTAGTCTTATCAGACTATTCTTAACTTATAACTTAAATATTCTCTTTATCTATCTCTTACGGTTTGGCCGCTGAAACAGCACCACAGACAGACGGACGGACGGACTTGTCTAATAGATAAGAGATGTATATTTATATACTCGCTGACCCAGCGAACTTCGTACCGCAATAAAAAATAGGGGTTGGTGATAGAAGGGTAAAAATTAAGGGTTGAATGTATTTTTGAATGATGTATCATAACAAAATCAAAACAAAAAATGTTGTCAAAATAAAAAAAATTAAGGGTGGACCCTTAACATATAGGGGTATGAAAAATAGATGTTGTCCGATTCTCAGACCTACAGAACATGCATATAAAACTTCACGAATATCGGTCGAGCCGTTTCGGAGTAGTTCAATTACGCACACGTTTAAAACAATATATCTTCCCTTTTTGTTTTAATCTAAGATTTAAACTAATAAAGTGGACTCTTATCTATTTTTTTTTAATAATATGTTGCTATGAACAAATACTTTGAACAGTGTGCGTACCGCTATATAAAAGTCAATTTGTATACCTTTGTATGCCTTGTGCATTTAACTGCTAGATGTTTCAATCTAAAGAAAATTTTACTAGAAAAAACTCCACGCGGACCAGGCAGCAGACGGGACTTGAACCCGCACCCTCCGCTATTCGGGCGGATGCACTGACCATTATGCTACCGTGGCTCTAATGTCCGTGTTTTTCTCTAGCTCACTCTATATTTATATATTTTTTTAAGCATGTAACTGCTTGATGTTTAAATCTTAAAAAATATAACTAGAATAAATTCCACGCGGCCCAGGCAGCAGACGGGACTCGAACCAGCACCCTTCGCAATCCGGTCAAATGCACTGACCAATTATGCTACCGCGGCCCTGACGGCCGCGTCGAAATTCTTCTAGCCATTCTTAAGCTGCAAGGCAGCGCCATCTCTTCGCATTGTATAATTGGTCAGTGCATTCGCCCGGATTGCGAAGGGTGCGGGTTCGGGTCTCGTCTGCTGCCTGGTCCGCGTGGAATTTTTTCTAGTTGTATTTTCACTCTATATTGTTTGTTACCTGCGGGAAAGGTTGGTTGGTGACACGGTAGTTGCCTTCCTCCCAGTTCACTAGTTTGATGTCCGTGCCTGTCGTAGGCGCGCCCACGCGACCCGTTGATCTGCGAACAAAATAAAAAAATATGTTTTTCTAGCAATAAATTTATGTAGTTCATCATCAGCCTATTAATGTTCCCACTGCTGGGGCACAGGCCTTCCCTATGGATGGAATAGGGATATTGGGCCATGACCCACCACGCGGGCCCAGTGCGGGTTGGTGGGTGCTAACGACTGCAGATGCAGCCGGGAACAACGGCTTAACGTGCCTTCCGAAGCACGGAGGAGCTCGAGATAGTAAATTTTTCGGTCACCCATCTAATGACCGACCACTGCGAAAGTTGCTTAAATTCAACGATCGCAGCGGAACGCGCTAACCACTTGCGCCATCGAGCTCCTCCTATGTAGTTACAGTTTATAAAGGCCAAACACTTATGAATGGTTACAAAAGGGGTTTAGATTATAGTACCTACACATGTGAACAAAAATGGCTTTATAACTTTATAGTTGGACAGCACAAACACCTCATTACAGCGTTGCCCTGTCCCATAGATATAAAGAATGGACTGGGTGTCTGTCCAACTGTGAATTAAAACTGGGTGTATAATTGTGTGTTGGCGCAGGTGGCTAGCGCGTTAAGCTGCGATCGTTGAAGTTAATCAACTTTCGCAATGGTCGCCCATTGGAATGGTGGCCAAAAATCTTCTATCACGAGCCCGGAAGAACCGTGCTTCGGAAGGCACGTTAAGCTGTTGGTCCCGGCTGCATCTGCAGTCGTTAGCACCCGCCAATCCGTACTGAGCTCGCGTGGTAGGTCATGGTCCATTCTCCCTATTCCATCCACAGGGAAGGCCTGTGCCCCAGCAGTGGAGGCATTAATAGACTGATGATGATGTATAATTGTGAGATACGAATAAATCGTTCGGCCAATTTTCATTAATTTATTTTAATTAATCTATTTTTCTTTAATTTATTTAATTGTTGTTGTTCAATTATTGACAATTTAAAATTTTATTTTTATTCATAATTGCTTTGTATTAAAATTAATGTAATTATCAAAATTTTATAAGATTTCATTGCTAGTTAAGTGTAAATTGCGTGTCGTATACGCCTATAATTAAAGTTTCACTAATAAATGTGTAAATAAGAAATGTCTAAGTGCAACTTTGTTGGTGATCAAATAAATAAATGAATAGTTCTTATACATATTAACTGCACTATATCCTTGCGGAAACATTACCTAAATCGTTGTCTGAATTCACGGTGTATATATTAGAAGATAGATTTGCAACACTAGAAGTGTCACAAATGCAATGCCTTTCTTTCAGAACTTCTCTCTTAACAGGGTTTGCACATTAATAATAAAAATAATGTTTATTTGCAATAAATTACACGTTCTTACATGGTAATATTCTTATAAGACTATTTACACTACGGCTAATTTTTCATCTACTATATAAAAATAAGTCGGGTTTTCCTTCCTGACGCTATAACTCCAGAACGCACGAACCGATTTCCACGGTTTTGCATTCGTTGGAAAGGTCTCGGGCTCCGTGAGGTTTATAGCAAAGAAAATTCAGGAAAAATAAAAAAAAACTTCTTTTAATCACCATACGAAATGTTACATAAAACGAAGCCATCTATCTGGTGGCGAAACGGAGTTCGCCGGGTTTGCTAGTTAAATATAAAATGACGATCTTCATTGGTATAGTAAAAGCTTGACAAACCTATCGTGCGGGTCCATGACGGTGGCGCAGGACGTGGTCTCGGTGAGCCCGTATCCGGTCACGATGTCGGCGCACAGGCAGATCCGCAGCTGCGCGTGAGTGTCGGGCGATAGGGGGGCTCCGCCTGACAGCATGAGGCGAATGCGGCCGCCTAGTAGGCCGCGTATCTTGGTGAACATCTGTACATAAATTGTAAGATATAATAATAATAACAATAATATTTACCACACTCACATCAATTAGCCAAGCCCCAAAGTAAGCACTCTAAGGCTTGGGTTGCTAACTGTTTCGGATAGAAAACACATATTTCATGCTAAGTATATATTTATATAGAAATATACTCGTAGTCATCATACTAACATTTGCCCCCACTGGGATCCGATCGAGTAGGCTATATCTGGAAACCCGGCGTTTATACCACTCGGCCATGGAGGTCGCTGATAAATCTTTTAACACTCTCATGCAAACATCTACAGCAAACATCGATGTGGCGGTATGATTTTAGTGGAAAAGAATAATTTTAGATAGAGGGACTGATAGCCAAAATTTTGGTTTATTTTCCAGCATGTGAAGTTATAATATGTATTTACAGCATAAATTCAAACTCATTTCTTCAGTCTAGGCTGTTACAAGGTTTTGTAAAAGTCAAACTCTACGCCATCGGTTCGTAAATCTACGGCGGGAGACCTTGTAACGCATACTGAATGTGTTTTGCTTGAAAATGTTTATTAAGATAACAGTGAGTAAACAATCTTCATCATCATCCATTCAGGACATCTTTTAACTGATGAGAAGAATGGGCGCATAAAACTCATCAGCATTTAACAGAATTAGCAACATTTACAAAAAAACATGTCGCTACCAATACAACATCCACTCACATTTTGATTGCTGTTTCATACAGTATTAATAAAAACAGTGTTCTATTAGGTATTCAATCTCCCAATTCCATCCTTGAGGAGCTCGATGGCGCTAGTGGTTAGCGCTTTCGGCTGCGATCGTTGAAGTAAAGCAACTTCGGCAGTGGTTGGTCATTGGATGGGAGACCAAAACTTTACTATCTCGATCTCCTCCATGCTTCGGAAGGCACGTTAAGCCGTTGGTCCCGCCTGCATCTGCAGTCGTTAGCACCTACCAATCCACACTGGGCCCGGTTGGTGGGTCATGACCCAATCTCCCTATTCCATCCATAGGGGGAGGCCTGTGATGATGATGATTGTAAATCTAGTGATGATTATCGTATATAACTCACCAGTTTGTTGAGTATTGGCGTGTCGTATCCGCGTCGCATCCACGTCTGCTTGTACGTGTACGCCCACTTGAAGAATGCGCTCGCGAATTCGCCGCTCTTCGACACTTTGTCGGTGATGCCTTTGCTTACGCGATCCATTATCAACTGGAACGAGAAAACAGTTATATATGAGACTAGCTGACCCAGCGAACTTCGTACCGCCCTAAAAAAATAGGGTTTGTCCAGCGGACAAAATTGTGAATCTAAACCATTCTCAGATCCCCTTGAACACACACAATAAATTTCATCAAAATCGGTCCAGTCGTTTAAGAGAAGTTCAGTGACATACACACTCACAGAAGAATTATATATATAAAGATATGGCGTCGAGCAATAAACTAGAAACTTGTGGGTTTACGGGAAAGTAACAAAAGAGCAAAGAAATAGAAACATATTTTTTTGAAGTTATACTTCTTTAGGCGCGTTATGAAAAAATGATGAGAGTGAAATTTTAAGATGCGCGCGCATCACTGTAACACAAAATTTTAACATTTCGCTAAAGCGACCAACTTCATGCGTTACTTTTGTGTTTACCGCACATTAAGAAAATCTACCAACAAAATAGAAATAGAATCTCTATTTAGTGGGTGCTAACGACTGCATTGTGAAGGCCTATCAAAAGTATTTATTAATCTGGAACAACGGAACCAAAGCGCGATTCAGGAGACTACAGCGCCATCTCTGGACCATTGGTGTAGTAGAACCAAAAACCACATCTTTATTTTTTGTAATAAAGTAACAGTTATAGGTATTCATATTTATAATATTTATCCACATGTTACTAGTTTGTATATTCGGAATACGTGTTTGAGTTTCATACAAGTGCAAATCACATATGTTCTAATAAATTATATTCAGTAGCGATTTTAATTGAATATTTTGATTATTTATTTATTTTTTCAAATTAAAACTGAACTTTATTGACTGTGTCCTTTTCCAGACTTTTTATTAATCTATTGTAATTAATTATTTGCATGCAATTAAAAACTAATTTTAAACGATGCCAAAGAAGGATAACTTCTCACGCGCCTACATAAGTACACGCACCCATTTTTTTTTTAATTGAAACTTATTTTCGGACGGGGTGTAAATGGAAACATCCTATGGAAAAGATGAAACGGAAATGAGTCACGAGTGACACACTACACACACATATATATATATTTATTATCTTCTGTAATTGATTAATAGAAAATAAATCGACGGATGCAGACCTTTCGCCCCGATGTTGCCATTTAGCCATCTTAATTTCAGAAAACCCTCATTCATAGAATTTAACATAGCATAATGTTACCTCTTTTTCTCTATTTTAAACTCTTTATTCTTACAACTTACCGGTACAGTGGTGATGCAGGTTGGCCGCAGAGTGGTCGCGTCGCCATGGGTTCCCTTCATGATCTTGTTGGACGTATCGAGCATAGTCAGCGGGGTGGAGTAACCGATCGAGACACCTGTAAAACAAAAAATCGATCATTAATAATGTTTCCACTAATTTGTTTCATTTGATAAAGCGGAAGTAAAGCAGCAACACTTATTCTAATTCATAATACTTGTTTATTTATACCTTTCTTTATTGCAAAAAACAGCAAATGGCGAACGTAATGCCATTAGGCATTCTATGTCTACCAGTCGACCGAAAAGTGTAAGGTTTTTTTTATTACGGGATGGCGCAAATTTTGACTAATTTACAATAGACTTTTTGTCTATTCCGTTGGCGAATCCTTTCAGGGTGGAGAGAGTGTGGAACACTCACCGGTCCCGATGCAGAGACTTTTGGCAAGCAGCTCGAACACAGGTGGTAGCGTTAAGAAGCCCATCAACATGTCGTCGTCTAGGAAGGATCTCCTCAGAGTGGCTACAGTGTGTGAACAGGATGTGGACCACTCACCGGCCACGATGCAGAGACACTCGGCCAGCAGCTTGAAAACGTGTGCTAGCGGTAAGAAGCCCATCAGCAGGTCGTCGTCTAGGATGGATCTCTTCAGGGTGGCTACAGTGTGGACAGCATGTGGACCACTCACCAGCCACGATGCAGAGACTCTCGGCGAGTAGCTCGAAAACGTGTGCTAGCGGTAAGAAGCCCATCAGCATATCGTCGTCTAGGATAGATCCCTTCAGGGTGGCTACAGTGTGGACAGCATGTGGACCACTCACCAGCCACGATGCAGAGACTCTCGGCGAGCAGCTCGAAAACGTGTGCTAGCGGTAAGAAGCCCATCAGTAAGTCGTCGTCGTATATTGGCACCGAATCGGCGAATGCTTTCAGTGTGGCCACCATGTTGCGATGGGAGAGTACTACGCCTTTGGGAACGCCCGTCGAGCCAGAAGTGTACATAATGATAGCAGTGTCTTCGGGGGACGGCGGTACGTGATCTAGAGTAAAGAAAAAGCCATACTTAATTATCATTCGAAAGTAATAGTGGTAGCAAACGAAGAACTATTAAGTCCATCAGTTAGATTAATAGAAAATAATAAGACACGTATTTTCCTTTTGTCAATCAAACAAAAAAAAAATAAAGATCGGGCGTAGAGACTCGTGACGTCACTTCTAAGTTAAAATTGTATCAAAACGCGACGTCATGCGACATTTCAAATCAATATATCTCTGTGATATTTTGATCATGTGAAAAAAGAAAAAAATACGTGTCCAATCCTTTAATTCTTGATAATCTACCTAATAGGAGACGAAAAAAAATTAAGTCATCATACCTATTCTATCATATTATTTCGAAAGTAAGTCTATCAACTATATTAAGAAACGTGAAATCAATTTTGATACTCTCATTCTATTATTATCGCAAAAAAAGTGTCAGCATCAACTTTAGTCGAACTGAAAAGCTCATGAACTTATCTCAGTGCAACCGTATCAGTTACGTTTATACATAATCCGCTGCAATATTTTTTGTGAATAATATTTTAGTAACGGGATCTTAGAGAAGAGCATAGATGGAGTACAGTGGGTGTAATAGGAGAAGTAAGTTTGTATGAAAAATTTATTATTCTACGCAGACAAAGTTACGGTCGTTTACCACTATTTATAATAGTAATATCATGCTGAACTCTCCATGGCGTTAATAATACATTTTAAAAACAGCACAGTACTGTATCGATATGAAGGATATTTCAATAAAGACAAAATTCTTTATCAACTTTTATGATAAGAAAACGTAGAGTAAAAGTATTATTATTTCAGAACTTTGGGGCTAAGTAATCCCAGTGGAACTGTAGTTAAGTCCCACTTAAAAGATATATTGTGACTCGCCACCAAGTTAAAATATCTCTTGTAGCCCGACAGATTCCAGGAAGCTCAAAATGTTTCCTGCTTTTAGAGATTTGATTTCCTCTGGGCGTATTATATCTCGCCCCAGATGAATACTATATTTGTCGATAAGACGCCTACATTCACTTAAAAGGTGTTTTAGTGTTTCGCGCTCCTGATTGCAGTATCTGCAAATATCAGTGTCACTTAATTTCATATGAAATTAGTATGTTGAGTTTGCAGTGTCCAGTTAAGGCTACAATAGCACAGGTGTTCAGCCTGCTAAGTTCTATTAACCCAGTAGTCCGTTTCTTGGAATAACCTTCTATTAGTAATTTTTCCTGGTTAATTTAACCGGTATTCTGTCGATTCGCCTAGAAGGTCGACCTTAAGAAAAAAAAGGGAACTTACCAATTTTCGACTTAGATCCCATTCGCAGCACCTCTTTATATCCGACGATTCTTATCCCCTCCTTGTAGCCGTCCGTCTTCGTGGGATGCAGCTGGTCCTCCATGAAGACGATGGTGTCCACCTTCGGTGTCTTTGCCAAGATCTTCTTGAATTTGGGCAACAGTTCGTGGGATGTGATCACCGTTGACACTTCCGTCTCGTTGATGCCGTGCGCTATGGCATCATCGCCGAGGGTTGCGTATATTGTTACCACTAGAACAATTAAAAAGTTAATTAATAAGTTGGAAGCTATCGAAGCTAGGAAGCTGAACGATTTTTAATACCCTAGATACAATAAAACGAACAAAATCGTGGCCGGAACCTGTCCAAAAGGTCCATTGGACGATCCACGGAGCTCCGTAAGATGATCGCGTAGTCAAAATCTATATAAGGCAATTATTTAAACATTCAAAATCAAATTAAATATTGTTACGATACGATCTACTTTTAATCTGGTTTCACAGTGAGATATCTTAATTGTTCTTTCATAGGATCATCATCTGCCTATTAATGTTCAAACTGCTGACGTAAAGGCTTTCCTTACGGATGGAATAGGGATTGGGCCACGACTCACCACACCGTCTAAGTTTGGATTGGTGAATGCTAACGACTCTCGGCAAATATGGCGAGGTTGTGGCGCGGCTTGCAGCCCAACTCGCGCAGCCCTTGCCTGAATGTGGCACTATGGGCGGCAGTATATCCCCTCACTCACCGGCGATGCTCTGCTTGAAGCAGTCGTGCGCGGCGATCATCCACTCGGCGCGCGTTTCGGCGAACATGGCGAGGTTGTGGCGCGGCTTGCAGGCCAGCTCGCGCGGCCCTTCACTCAATGTGGCGTCAATATAGCCCCACACTCACCGGGGATGCTCTGCTTGAAGCAGCCGTGGGCGGCGATCATCCACTCGGCGCGCGTTTCCGCGAACATGGCGAGGTTGTGGCGCGGCTTGCAGCCCAGCTCGCGCAGCCCTTGACTGAACGTGGCACTATAGGCGGCAGTATATCCCCACACTCACTGGGGATGCTCTGCTTGAAGCAGCCGTGCGCGGCGATTATCCACTCGGCACGCGTTTCGGCAAACATGGTGAGGTTGTGGCGTGGCTTGCAGCCCAGCTCGCGCAGCCCTTGCCTGAACGTGGCACTATGGGCAGCAGTATATCCCCACACTCACCGGGGATGCTCTGCTTGAAGCAGCCGTGGGCGGCGATCATCCACTCGGCGCGCGTTTCCGCGAACATGGCGAGGTTGTGGCGCGGCTTGCAGCCCAGCTCGCGCAGCCCCGACGCGAACAGGCCCGCCTCCGCCTCCACCTCAGTGAACGTGCGCCACTCGTAGTTGCCCATGTTGAACTGCGGGTGAAAGGAATATCATTTGAATGAGAACAAACTATTATAATTATATCCGTTTCTCCTGGGAGTGGAGCCCTGACTCAAGACCACTAGGGCCTGACTATAAAACCTCGCTATTGCTGTCAGCACATGGCTGTTTCAAAGGTAGGCTTCACCGAATAAAGCTCTTGGAGGTTAAATGCTATCAACTGCAGTAAGGTTATGAATGTGGACCCAGTACTGATCTTCTTAAAGACGGGGCCGTTGGCTTGCGGCTCGTCCTCCCCGCCCAGCACCGTCCGTGTGCCGAGACAGGCCGCTTGTCCCCACTCAGCATCGTCTCCATGGTGACGGCGAGTGGACCCAGTACTGACCTTCTTAAAGACGCGGCCGTTTGCTTGCGGCTCATCCTCCTCGCCCAGCACCGTTCGCGTACCGAGACAGGGCCGCTCGTCCCAGCGCGCGGCCGCTGCCCTCAGCATCGTCTCCATGGTGGTGACGCCGTCGCGGACCATCCTGATGTGAAGTTGACTCGGAGCGCATACCGAGCGGACTGTTAGGCTGTTCGTCGTGCTTTCTATGATTCGTGCCTGATGATAAAACGAAATGCTCAGTATTTATACAATATATTTTGTGTATATATTACACTGTGCATGTTAATTATAGTTTGAAGTGAGAACACAATACGCATGTCATCTAATCTAATTCAATGATATAATTTGAAAGATAAATTACAGGATTTACTGCTGAATCATTCTCGAACCAAAACATCTAATTATGTATCATTTACCGAGTGGACAAAGTCCTCATAGAAGTGCTAATTATCCAATATCTAAGGCAGAGAGCAATCAGTAGTATAAAGGAAGCAAAGACAAACAATGCCTAACATTAGGCCCTAATAACATTAACATAAGGACCAATTCTAAAGTGCTGAACGTGAATGGGATAATATTATGTGATGGATTACCTTTATCCGGCGCGAGAGGGCGCGTTTCTTCCAAGGCCTTTGAAAAATAAGGTGTATGGGAAATGTGAGGATATCGAACACCAGCGCGACCGCCTTGATGGCCTTCAGAACCGCCGACACCCACCATGACTCCGGTCTAAAAGAAACAGAAAATATTATTAATACTATTACGTGAAAGTTAGGACAGTGGATGAGTATGACAAGCGAATGATGCGTGTATAATATCGTGTAGGAGTAAGATCGTGACACGATGCGGTCAGGCGCCGCTTGTAAACGAGGATTTAAAACTCCATAAAATTTAATAGAATAAAATTTATTGCCATTTACTCTGTGCAATTTCGCAGTTGATAATGCATACAATATCACGAAATCACATTATGTATGTAACATGTGTTATAATAACAGTGGAAAAATATTTTCATTTAGTATTTATTACCACATATCACCACAGATATTTACAATACAACGTATTACATTATCTTGAAATAACTGGAGAACTTTCAGTCCGTATCTGACAGACACCCAAGAAATATGCTTAGATAGTTCCAATGAGAAAATATTCTAGATTCAGGACGCTTTACCTACTATTGATTACTCAATTCTTTTGCACTACAAAAATAATCCTCTTTTCATAAATGGAAATCAATAATCATTTCGAATCAGTGGCATTATGCACTTTTCATAATTATGTTTCATTCCATGCTAATTGAAAAGTCCAAGAGGTTACTTTTTATCAATTCATTTCGTAGATATATTATTGTGTGCAATATATTTCCAAAATAATATTAATACTGCTTATCAGGTTATAACATATTTACTCATAATGTGAGTGTATCGGTTGAACACTCGAAGTGAATGCTCTCAAGAGAGCTAGACGCCTTTGTTTATTTGTTTTGTAATATTACAACACTTTCTTAGATAAACAGTGTTCTAATAGGCGTTCTAAGCGTATCTGCCAGCCCGATTATATATAAAATATGTATACAATGTTTACCCCCTACTAGTTAAATAAAATTGCCATGGAATAACCATATAGTATTACATAACCATAAGAAACAGAACATTTCATTAGCTAAAGTGGGGTTGTACGAATTGTATCTCTTAATTAAACAATTTCTTATTCTTACTAAGAAATTAAGAAGTTCCATATCAGTAGACAATCGATCACTGATTCATTCGTTGTCAAGATTTCTGTATTCGGAATCCTTCACTTGTTCTATTTATCGAAAGGTGTGGTGCTATTTATAGATGTGCTGAGTAGTTAATTAATTAATGATAAACTTGGGGCAGCATTATTTAAACCTCATTAACATGAGCGCTGTACAAATTGGAAATCTTGTTCTTTAACGCATCAAAGGATTTTCTTCCTAATTTAACTTCAAATTCGGAATATAAGGACTTTCACCTATCTGAGGACACATCAGTACGAAAGGATTAACATCCGCACGCTCAAATGCCGTGATCAAGCGCTCTCAGCTTAGTATTTACCATTACTCATTTGCTGAGAGCATTCAGGTCTAATAAGGTAACTTGATTAAATTCCCTTGCGAAACTAATTAAATTCCTTCTCGAGATCCAAGGTGCGACTTCTTTTATCTAGCACTGGCTCGGAGTAAACAACTTTACCAATTTCATGGTCTGCTGTCTACGCATTGAATAAGTTTACATAATCGGGGAGTCGCATAACGTTATTGGGTTTATTATAACCCCCAAGGCATCGAGTTTCGTTGGTAAAAGCGAAGCTAAAAGCAAACAAATCAATAGCCAATTTATGTAAAATTTTCTGTGGGTGTTTTTCAAATCTAGTCCAGGATTATTCTAGTGCTTTTTGCGGTGTTATGTTAATAGACGTCTGGTGCATTTTCACATAAATATTCGTTTAAGCATGTCAAGTTCATTCGATATAATTGAAAGTGTTAGTTCACAGTGTATCGATTCTTGATAAGGGAACCCACAAATGCCGCCTCGTGCTTGCCTGTGACCATTCCCACGGACTACTAGTGAACTTCAACCACATTTTCAAATTATTGAGGAAATGCGACATCATTTCCAATATTGGTACATACTCATTAACATCCTAGAGATTCCATCTCTACAAATACCGTTGACCTCTACAAATAAAATACGTGTGGCCGAATGCAAATATTTTTGAGAGCTATTTGATGTGGTCAAACTATAGCAGTAGCTTTTACTTCTAATTAACATTTTATTTGAAACATTTAAGTACTTACTGAGGGATCCTCTTTGAATGTAAAATTATCAAGCAAAGACATGCTTTTTTGAAGTCGGCTAAAAATTATATGAGAATAGACGTCTATCTATAGACAATCATATTATCAACAACAAAGCCATACAACTGGGGAGACGGTAAGCAAACTAAACCGATTTGCTGTTTCATTCAATCTAATATCTACGAGAGCCTCTAATGAAATTATTCATTTTATCAAGTCGAGCTTGTAGTTAGCGGTCGACTTAAATAAAACCCGTCATATAGTAAGAAATAAACATCCAAGAGGATTAATTTGAGGTTTACTTATTATTATTAAATATTTATTTCGGACAATTATTGATTTCATCCATAATGTTAGTAACAATACACTTGAAAGGTATACTAGTACCTTCAATAAACGTAATACTTATGAACAAGATTGTTTAAAGTTTATCATCAAGCCTTGGACTTTAGTATCAAAGGCATTTAATTCAGTCATTTAAAAATTAACGGAATAACGTAATAGTAGAGGAGACCGTGGGAGATCGACCTTCACCGATCTGATAACTCGAGCAGACATAATTTTTTATCAAATATAATTTATAAACAACTATGCCTATGATAACTTGCCTATCGAAAAGTGTCTATGAACATTTTTCGACGGTCAGGTAGCGTACAGCTGCTATGTTGAGTCCTGTTCTATCACACGGACCTCGGACACTCTACTTTCCCTCTTGCACCTATCAAATAGCTAAAATTTTAAAACGTTTGGCAATAATAATTATTTTATGTACGATTTTTTGCAGGCAAGCCTTTATAATTGCTAATTGTTTCTAAAATATCTTACCTATGATATCAATTTCGATTGGTTAACATATCGATGTAGTTACCTATATTGACTTAAGCCTCGATGACACGGGGCGAGTTCACAAGCTACAAGCCAGCGAGTTCGCTAGTAGCTTGTAACTCGCCCCGTGTCATCGAGGCTTTACCTGTTCACATCTACTTGCCAGGTAGCCATGCACAGAAATAAGTAGGCAAGCTTACCTAGGCATATTCTGTGTGTTAAAAACTATCAATTGAGATAAAATTCATTCGATAATGATGATGAAAGAAAATTAATTAAATTAATAATAGCTATGAACACTTTTCGATAAGCAAGTTATTATAGGGATAGGTATTTGTTACTAAACTATATTTGATATAAAATATGTCTCATCGTGTTATCAGATCGGTGAAGGTCGATCACCCACCGGCTCTTAGACTATGATTACAAAAACAGCTTTAGATAAAAAAAAAGTAATGGTAGTACTTAAATAATAGACTTTGAACACGATTGCACCGATAATATTTATATCGATCAATAGGTTTCTTCCCAAAGAACTGGGTCGTGTAAATATTTTCCTAACGACGCCATAAATGGTGCTGGGAAGTCCAATTGATATGTCATTATCCTGAACAACATTAGTTTTTAGTCTAAACCAGGGGTACTCAAACGGACCGTTTAATTAACCGTATAACCATAATATCGAGCCCTTACCGCCAAATTATCGTAAGCGACACTTTTGTCGAAATGCGTTTTTTGTGGAAACTAATATTTTAAACCGTAACGGACCCATCTCTGTTGATATTTCCCTCTATTCTTCCCTCTATTATATTATTACGGTGTTCTTTTGGAGGGAAATATCAACAGAGATGGGTCCGTTACGGTTTAAAATATTAGTTTCCACAAAAATCGCATTTCGACAAAAGTGTCGCTTACGATAATTTGGCGAATGTCGCTTACGATAATTTGGCGGTAAGGGCTCGATATATGCTACGGTACACCCTATCTAGGTAGGTAGGTAGGTCGGGTGTATCATGTATTTACGGCAACTCTGCATCACACATACTTGCAGCCTCTCAGAATCGATCCTACTTAGGATCGACTTAGTCTAAAAATTTTGAGGTAGATCGCCAGCAGTTCAAGTTTGAGCACCACTGGTCTAAACTCCAAAACATGAAATTTCTTCTTCATTTATTTATTCTTTAAATCCGTTTCCAAGTGCATTCTATAATGACTTTAACCATCAACTACTGACTGATCTACATTAATAAATAAGGCCCGCCCGCAAGGCCGTTTGATAGTGCATCAAACTATCAACTATAATAAGACAAAATTAATATAATTCATATATATATAAATGTCTATAAAAGTACTTAATATTTCTTCTTCAGTATCGTACGCAACAATGATATTCAAAACACACTGCTGAATGACGATCGACTATAAAACCAGGAGACCTACTCTAATTCCTCTCAATAATCCCCTAATTTCTCTAAATAATTCTCGACGAAAAACGAAATTTCGCATTTTACTTTTCTTATTTCTTACTATGTTTCTGGTTCGTTTTTAATAATAATATACGCCATTGGAATATAGATTGAGGTGCAAATTTTCTGCCTACTCAAAGAAAGCTTCAATAGGCTTATTGGTGTGTGTTGGAAAAAAAAATAGTTTCTCGTTCAAATTAAGTATAACCTTAAATTGACGAAATTAAATTTCGTTTGAACTTCCGTTATCGAAAGTTCGTTTCGGAGAGAGAGAGTAGACCCTCAGGTCTTTGAGTACACCCTATATACTTATAGAAATGTGGATAAGTTACATAATTTTAATGTTTGTTGTATATTTTTAAATTATTAAACTTTACGGGCGATATGGTCAGTGCATACCATTAGGTACCGCGGCTCTAATTGTCTGTGTCGAATTGGAGCTGCCTTGCAGCCTAAGAAATACTAAAGAGAATTCGACACGGACAATTAGGACCGCGATAGCATAATGGTTAGAGCATTTACCCGGATAGCGGAGGGTGCGGGTTCGAATCCCGTCTGCTGCCTGGTCCGCGTGGAATTTTACTAGTATTTTTTTTAGATTAATAAACCATTAT